GTCTCTTCTTGAGTTCTCGCGCCTGGTTCAACAACATCGACCTGCAACCTCAAGCGTCTGAGAGACCTCACGCCGACTGAGAAACTTGCCTGCGGGTCAAAGGTTAGGTGGTGACCCCAGGCTGGCGGCTGCACCGGCACTACCGCCATCGTCGTTGGCGCCATGCTGGCGTCGGTGCAGGCTAGGCGTCGCGGGGCGCTGGACCTTGGCTCGTACTACGCGCACCTCTGCGCCCTGCAGGACTGCGCGCCGCTGCCGGCCGTGACGGCCCACCTGGCCCGCGGGGGCCTCGACCTGCACGGGGACCGCGTGCGGCTCGCCGACTGGACGCCCGTCGCCAACGCGCTGCACGTCAACCGCCACCTAAGCTTTGTGTGCGTGCGGAGCGGCGGCCGGCGCGCCGACGCAGGTGGGCTCCCCGCATAGGCGGCAGCGGTATCGCTTTCATTGTCGCCAGGACGGCGTGGGGACGGCGGGTGGGTGGATGGTGTGGTGGCAGTGGTGACGCTAGCTCCACCCTTTGTTCGGCTCCCGACTCTGGCGTCCTTCTGTGTGGAGCATGCAAATTCACAACCCCCCCGCCCCGTTTTGCTGCAGAGAGAACATGCCATGACGAATATCTGTACCAGGCCTGGGCCTCCCCTAGGTTGACTCATAAATGAGTACCTTTGGCAGTGTGTACACATCAGTATTAGGGAGACAAATGCGGCCGACCGTGCTGCTAACCACCCACCCCTTGTGTGTTGCTTTGTGAGCTACACAGGGGATATTTGCGTTGTTGCGTGTGTGTGTACATTCCGTGAGAACATAGGGACGGTTGGGACCAGCCTTGAGTTCTCCATTATTCGCATCCACACACGCGCTCACAAACACACACAGGCATACACGCATGAATACAGAGATCCTTGTATTGCCAGCGCGACAGCGCATGCTCGTGACACCCGGTGCGATGCCGCCGTTTGTTGTCACCACCGCCACAGGCTCCACACGGACGCCGCCCCGGCGGGATTCCCGGCTACCCGGCCCCGCAGGCTCCGCTGGCCCACCGCTGCACTCGCGCGACGTCACCGCCAGGCTAAGCCAGGCCCTCGGGGCCTGCCTGGCCGCCTCCCCGGTCCTCACTCGCCTGGAGCTGACGGGCCTGCCCCTGCGGCCATCCAACCTGCTCGCTTTGGCAAAGGTGAGTTCAAGAACGAGACGTTGTCACGGCCGATGCCGTAGACTCCAGCGGAGGACCGTAGACTCGCGCAGGCACCCATAGATTTTGGCCTCAGTCTCACCCCGTCTGCTGTGGGGACTTCCCCTTGATCTTCGGGACTCATGGAGACCGCTCCAGTGCCGGTCTCGACAAGCGGCCCTGCCCCACCCTGCCCAGTCACGTCAACAGCACTCGCCTGCCAATTTTCTCTTCCCAAACCCCAAGTGGCTTACCCTGCGTGATGGGTTGAACGTACGTGGTGGGTTGTTTTGTGTACGTGTGAGACGGCTGCGTCTCAGTGGGTCTGTGTGACGGAAAGGCCGTGTCCTTGTTGTTGCTGCAGGGAATCGCCCAGAGTTCGTGTTTGGAGACTCTGTCCCTGGCAAACTGCCCCATGGGAGATGGCGGTTTGGAGAGTAAGTGCATTAACTCTCACAGAATGTTCCACAAATATGACACTGTCCATTGAGCATGGAGCTATCACACACAGCGCTTATTGCGCACGGCGTCATCGCGCACGGCGTCATCACGGACAGCATCATCACAGACAGCATCATTATCACGTACAGCATCTTCACGCACAGCGTCATCACGCACAGCATCATCACACACAGCATCAACTCAAATGAGCATCGAGGCGGCGCTCATCTACCGCCTGCAGCCCTGCAGAGCCAGCGGTGGTCATTCCACATTCCTGCGGCAGGGGCAGCTCTCTTAATCGGACAAACATACACACACACTGCATCATCACAGCATGTTTACGAGCATCCTTCATGCCTCTTGAGAATGAACCCTAATCCACGGCATCTCGGCTTTCCTCCTACCTGCCGTGTCCGATGCCGTGGAATGGGGTTACCAACGCCCGGCAAAGGTGTTTCCACGTCTGCTCGGCTAACCGTGTCTGTGGCACCGTGCTCTTCTCCCCCCTCCCCCCCCCACCGTGTGTGCCTGCCGCAGCGATCTGCCGCAGTGCGAAGGGCTGCACATCGCTGGTGCGGCTCGACGTGAGTGGCTGCGGTCTCAGCTGGCGCGGAGCGGCGATGCTGTCTGACGTCATCACGGTACAGCGGAAGGGCTCGGGCCTTGGCACCCCCCCCCCCCCCCGTGTTTGGGGGGGGGTGCGGGGGATGCCCACGGACGGAAAGGGCATGGGTGGCGGGGGCCCACCCTGCCGGTGCCCGTGTTTCTGTGGGTGTTCTTTAAACACGAAGGCCCAAAACGTTATGTGGCCAGCAACAAACAGCACTGTCAGAGGTGTGGGCGTTTAGGCTGTCAAGGGTAGTGATAGGGGTTTGGGGTAGTGATAGGGGTGGGGGAGGATGAGCTAAGGGAGAAGAGATGGGCGAGGGAGAAGGGTCGTTGCTCGCAGACTGTTAGTGTTGAATGTCGTAGAGAGACAGGGCCCGGGGTGCCGCCTCACTGCGCCAGTTCCTCTTAGCAGCGCGCGTCTCCGGCGAGGCGGCTCGCGTTTTGACGCTCGCCCGTTGATCCGTGTGCGCACGCAGCACCAGGCACGGGCGCGGCACGGGGAGGCCTGGGCAGGCTCCCTGCGCTACGGGCGCCCCGACCTGGAGCGCATGGCCGGGCTGCGCCGCGTCAGCCTCAACCGCAACCCGCTCGTCGGAGACCGGGGGGCGGCCGCCCTGGCCCTCGCCCTGGCCGACGACCTTTGGGTCAAAGGTTAGCGCGAAACGCACGTGCTGCGCCGCTGTTGCTGCACACGTGGCGCAAGCGGTGTGGTTTGGAGGAGCTCACTGTTGGGACGGTGTTCAGGTCTTTCACGCAATCCAGTCTGAATCGTAGGTAGGCCAGCCTGAATGTTTCGGAAGCAAAAAGAAGGGAGGGCATGATTGTGCCTGAAAAGACCAGAAGCTTCATGTGGAGCAACAGGCCAGGTAGCTCCACACAGTGTTACGCAGCTGATGAAGAGATCATACCGCTCAACTCATTCAGAGTGAGAACTCTGCTGTCAAACCGGAACTGGTGATAAGCACACTATCCAGGTATGGAAACCCCTCCACTTTCTCCACAACTGCTCCATCACTCATAGGGAGTGGAGGGGGTGGAGTGTTTGATGATGCACAATTCCCAGGCAGGTACTTTGTTTTTTGGGGAAGATGGCAAGACCCCACCTCTGAGTAGCATGCTCCAGGTTCAGCAGCAGAAACTCCAACTCCTCAGTGTGAGCAGCAATCACCAGCTCAACAGCATACGCAACATTGTTGACCAGTAGGGAGCCATCTCTTGATTGCACCCGGGCATTGATCAGCCTCCCATTGTATCTGTACCAGATGTAAATTCCTCCGGTACAGCCATGAAAAGCTTCTTGAACTACGTGGTCTACATTTTTAAAAAATAATGTGGGGGCCAGAGGACATCCCTTCACACCCCAAGGTGATGAGGAAAAGGGTCTGACCCAGTCACGCAACTTTACCTGGGCCCACCAATATGAAGGTCTGTTTGTGAGCAGAGCTCTGGTCAGGGACTCCAAAAGCACGAAAAATAACCCAGAGCCCTGACCTATGATCAGGTCAATAAAGCACAGATATAGGTCCTGATTAATTTCCCTACACCTGTGCTGTAGCAGGCGGACAGAGAATATGGCGTCTGTGCGGGACCGCTCCGTTCTGAAACAACACTGGGGGTCCGCAAGCCTTCCCTCAGCGCGCTGCCTGGCAGGGAAGGGTCAATGCTGCGTAATCCTTGGCAGGATTTCTCCCAGCAAAGTGACAGCACTCCACCCCAACCGTGCGTGAAGCCTCCGAGGGGGATCATTTTCGTTGTGTGTGCGCGCGCAGCTGTGGACATGCAGCAGTGCGGCGTGGGTGAGGAGGGAGCGCGCGCCGTGCTCCATCTCCTGGAGTCCAACTCGGCCCTCTCAGTTGTGGACCTGCGGGGAAACCCTCTCGTTGGTACGGTGGGGGATATGCGCACCGCGACCACCACAGCCTGTTATTTAAATTGTATTACTTAGTGTTTCACTGGCGAAATGCCTCGAGATGGAACGTCTCATTTACACGGGTGTCCTCAGTGTCAATTGACACATAGCAAACACGGAATGACATGTACACACACACACACAAAGATCCCCCATATAGCCTTCACAGACTGTAGGGGCAAGTGCTGTTAGCGAGCATGTACGAAGGCCGGCACGGCACGCGAGAGGGTTGGTGGACAGCACCACGCCCGGCTGCCTTTATCTCCCTGCTGCTGATGTTTATGCACCGCATCACGTACTCATATGAGACTGAGTCGATCTAAGGGAGGCCCAACATGGTATAAATATTCGCCACTGTTATTGGTCATGAGCAGGAATCCACTTCAGGTACACAGTGCAGTGTCCTAACCACTACACTACCTTTCCCTATCACTCATATACAATTAAAGAAAAAGATACCCCATATAGCCTCAATTTACTTTTGGGACCAGTGCTGTTAGCGAGCACCTATGAAGGCCGGCACAGCACACGAAGGGGTGGGTGGCCATCACCACGCCTGGCCAAAATTTGTCGTCTCACCAGTGGTGATGTTAACACAGCACCAGGTATTAATTTGAGGCTGAGTCGACCTAGGGGTAGCCCAAGATATGTTCAGATGGTGTTGGGAGTGAGCGGGAATCGAACTCGGGTTGCCGGGTTCGTAGCGCAGCACGCTAACCGCTACACTACCGCTCCCCGCACACTCGCAAGCACGTGAACTGCACAATCAAGCAGTTCACCGCTGTGCCTGGCGAGTCTCGGAGTCTCTTGTGTGTGCGCGTCGCCTGGCTCGCGTGTTGCGTTGGTGTGCAGAGCGCGAGCTTCTGCAGGAGATGCTTGAGAAGCTCTTCGTGAATTCTCGTGGAGAAACCGCAGAGGTGAGTGACGTCCTCTCTCCCTTTCCGTGCTGAAGCGTGCGGTTGCTTCTATTTGATTGTCTCTGCTATAACTTATATTTGGTAATTTTTAATAATAATTTATGTTTGCTTGCTTGCTGTACTTCGTACGCGATTGGTTTTTGTTATTTTGTTGACCCAGCTCAGCCACTCTTGCAGATGAGACCCTACTGAAGATCTGTGAAAAAGAGCTTCATAGCTCATTGGATTCCTCCTGTATAAATAAATATGATTCTCCTGGCCTCTTGAGTTCTCAGCTGGCTCCCACTAGAGCAAACAAACAATCATCTTCACGAGAACAACCTGGAGCTTCTGCTCCTTCCTGGACACAACCCCCATCTCCTCTCCCATGCCCATCTTACTGCTTCCACTACTCCCTGCCCCGTCCCCCCAGCTATGACCAGGCCTACCCCTACCACAACCCCTATCACTACTATCGCTACCACTACCCCAACCCCTATCACTAATATCGCTACCACTACCCCAACCCCTATCACTAATATCTCTACCCCAACCCCTATCACTAATATCGCTACCACTACCCCAACCCCTATCATTAATATCGCTACCCCAACCCCTATCACTAATATCGCTACCACTACCCCAACTCCTATCACTACTCCAACCTCTATCGCTACTCCCTAACCCCCCCCACCAACTATGACCAGGCCTACCCCAACCCCTCCTTAACCACTCCCCCCTGTTTTCATAACTGTCAACACAACTGCACCACCGCTTTTAATAACAACCCCCACCCTTCATTATCTCAACCACCATCACCTCGGGGTACAATTTTATAATCGTTGCAAAAAGCGCCTTGAAAATTAAGGCCGCTGCTACGCGAATCTGCGCGAGAGACGACCGAGATAAGATCAGAGTGGACCCGCGACGACGTCTCTGCTGCCGCTCCGCAGTTCGAGTGGCTCCCCCAGCCGGCGCCCAGGGTCCCATCGCCGGTGGCGCAGAGGAAGAAGCGGCTGCTGCACCTGGGCAGCCGGGCGAAGGGCCGAGCGGTGATCCGCACAGGCGAGTCGTCCCACGCGCGCCCCCCTCGCCGCGGCGCCACCGCTCCTCGCCGTCGGGTCCGCTGCCGGCTCGAGAGCTCGGGCGATCAGTGGTGTTGGTTCTGGCTGCTTTGCTCGCCCTGTCTGTGCTTCGTGCGCGTTACAAATGAATTCTGTATTTCCGTGAGTCTGGTAGAGGCTGCGGGGGGATCTTTGTGTCTGTAGCTGTGGCGAAGCAGAGCAAAAATGAGAGCGGTGACGGAGGCCGATGTCACGCGCCGACTCAGGATGGCGGCAAACACGTGCCCTGGCGCTCCGCAGCCCGTGCCACACGCGCCACACACTCACAGGTAACCCACACAGTCACAGGTAACCCTCACACACATAGGTAATCCACTCGCAGGTAACCCTCACACACAGGTAACCCTCACACACAGGTAACCCACACACTCACAGGTAACCCTCACACACAGGTAACCCTCACACACAGGTAACCCTCACACACACAGGTAACCCTCACAGTCACAGGTAACCCACACTCTCACAAGTTGTCCACACAGTCACAGGTAACCCTCACACAGGTAACCCACACACACACAGGTAACCCTCACACTCACATGTAACCCACACACAGGTAACCCTCACAGTCACAGGTAACCCACACACTCACAGGTAACCCACACACAGGTAACCCACACACAGGTAACCCTCACACTCACAGGTAACCCACACACTCACAGGTAACCCTCACACACAGGTAACCCTCACACACAGGTAACCCACACACTCACAGGTAGTCCACACAGTCACAGGTAACCCTCACACAGGTAACCCACACACACACAGGTAACCCTCATACTCACATGTAACCCACACACAGGTAACCCTCACAGTCACAGGTAACCCTCACAGTCACAGGTAATCCACACAGTCACAGGTAACCCTCACACACAGGTAACCCACACACTCACAGGTAACCCACACACAGGTAACCCACACACTCACAGGTAACCCACACACACACAGGTAACCCTCATACTCACATGTAACCCACACACAGGTAACCCTCACAGTCACAGGTAACCCTCACAGTCACAGGTAATCCACACAGTCACAGGTAACCCTCACACACAGGTAACCCTCACACACAGGTAACCCACACACTCACAGGTAACCCACACACAGGTAACCCACACACTCACAGGTAACCCACACACACACAGGTAACCCACACACACACAGGTAACCCACACACTCACAGGTAACCCTCACAGTCACAGGTAACCCACACACTCACAGATAACCCACACACACACAGGTAACCCTCACACACAGGTAACCCACACACACACAGGTAACCCTCACAGTCACAGGTAACCCACACACACACCGGTAACCCTCATACACAGGTAACCCACACACACACAGGTAACCCTCACACACAGGTAACCCACACACACACAGGTAACCCTCACACACTCACAGGTAACCCTCACAGTCACAGGTAACCCACACACAGGTAACCCTCACACACAGGTAACCCACACACTCACAGGTAACCCTCACACACACAGGTAACCCTCACACACAGATAACCCACACACTCACAGGTAACCCACACACAGGTAACCCTCACACACAGGTAACCCACACACTCACAGATAGTCCACACAGTCACAGGTAACCCTCACACACTCGCAGGTAACCCTCACAGTCACAGGTAACCCACACACAGGTAACCCACACACACAGGTAACCATCACACACATAGGTAATCCACTCGCAGGTAACCCTCACACACAGGTAACCCTCACACACAGGTAACCCACACACTCACAGGTAACCCTCACACACAAGTAACCCACACACTCACAGGTAGTCCACACAGTCACAGGTAACCCTCACACACAGGTAACCCACACACTCACAGGTAGTCCACACACTCACAGGTAACCCTCACACAGGTAACCCTCACACACAGGTAACCCACACACTCACAGGTAACCCACACACTCACAGGTAACCCTCACTCACAGGTAACCCTCACACACAGGTAACCCTCACTCACAGGTAACCCTCACTCACAGGTAACCCACACACACAGGTAACCCTCACACACAGGTAACCCTCACTCACAGGTAACCCACACTCACAGGTAACCCACACACTCACAGGTAACCCTCACACTCACAGGTAACCCTCACACAGGTAACCCTCACAGTCACAGGTAACCCACACACAGGTAACCCTCACTCACAGGTAACCCACACACACAGGTAACCCTCACACTCACAGGTAACCCTCACGCAGGTAACCCTCAAAGTCACAGGTAACCCTCACACACAGGTAACCCTCACACACACAGGTAACCCTCACACTCACAGGTAACCCTCACACACAGGTAACCCACACACTCACAGGTAACCCTCACACACACACAGGTAACCCACACACTCACAGGTAACCCTCACACACAGGTAACCCTCACACACAGGTAACCCTCACACACTCACAGGTAACCCACACACACAGGTAACAATCACACACTCACAGGTAACCCACACACACAGGTAACTCTCACACACAGGTAACCCTCACACACTCACAGGTAACCCTCACACACAGATAACCCACATACTCACAGGTAACCCTCACAGTCACAGGTAACTCTCACACACAGGTAACCCTCACAGTCACAGGTAACCCTCACACACTCACAGGTAACTCTCACACACAGGTAACCCTCGCACACAGGTAACCCTCACAGTCACAGGTAACTCTCACACACAGGTAACTCTCACACACAGGTAACCCTCACACAGGTAACCCTCACACTCACAGGTAACCCTCACACACAGGTAACTCTCACACACAAGTAACCCTCACACACGGGTAACCCACTCACACACAGGTAACCCTCACACACAGGTAACCCTCACACTCACAGGTAACCCTCACACAGGTAACCCTCACAAACAGGTAACCCTCACACTCACAGGTAATCCACACACTCATTCACCAACCCACATATTCACCCACCCACACACTCATTCACCCACCCACACACTCATTCACCCACCCACACACTCATTCACCCACCCACACACTCATTCACCCACCCAAACTCTCATTCACCCACCCACACTCTCATTCACCCACACACTAATTCACCCACCCACTCATTCACCCACCCACACTCATTCACCCACCCACACTTTCATTCACCCACCCACATCATTCACCCACCCACTCAGTCATTCACCCACTGACACTCATTCACCCACCCACACAGTCATTCACCCACCCACACAGTCATTCACCCACACACACATTCATTCACCCACTCACATCATTCACTCGCTCACATCATTCACCCACCCACACGCTCATTCACCCACCCATGCACTCATTCACCCACCCACACACTCATTCATCCACCCACACACACACTCATTCACCCACCCACACACTCATTCACCCACCCACACTCTCATTCACCCACCCACACTCTAATTCACCCACCCACACTCTCATTCACCCACCCACACACTCATTCACCCACCCACACACTCATTCACCAACCCACACAGTCATTCACCCTCCCACACGCTCATTCACCCTCCCACACGCTCATTCACCAACCCACACACTCATTCACCAACCCACACACTCATTCACCAACCCACCCACACACTCATTCACCCACCCACTCAACCACCCACACACACTCATTCATCCACACTCATTCACTCATTCACCTACCCACTCACGTTCTCACCCACCCACACTTATTCACCCACCCACACACCCATTCACCCACTCAACCACCCACACACACTCATTCACCCACCCCCTCACGTCCTCACCCACCCACACTCTCATTCACCCACCCACACACCCATTCACCCACCCACACACCCATTCACCCACTCAACCACCAACACACACTCATTCATCCACACACTCATTCACTCATTCACCCACCCACTCACGTCCTCACCCACCCACCACAATGAAGGTCACTACACCTCTCTCTGCTTCTTCTCTTCCACTGCTCCACTGGGTGGATTCCCTCCTCCCATCATCGTCTCTTTCCCTCCCCCCACCTCCCAAGTTCTTCATTCAATAACAACCTCGCTCACTTCCCGTAACATCTTATCTCTTACAAGTTTAACGGTGCTGTTCGTTGCTGGCCGTTTGACGTGTGTGGCATCTGGGCCATTTTTCTAGGCCAACTGTGGTTTAAAAAAAAGCATGTGACTCTACCTAACACTGTACTTTGTAAAAAGAAAACTGACAGCGTTTGGAGATGAAATATAATAATTATTATACACAGGCTGTGTTTGGCAGTGCCGTACAGTACCATACAAACTTAGCCTGCAGTATTTACTTAAGGACTGTGTCAACATTTTTAAGACAAATTCCATGGCCCTTTGCAGCTAGGGCTTCTTAACAATAAACTGGCCAGTGCTGCTTGTCTGCTTGCGAGAAGCCTCCTTGCCGTGTTTGTCTCTCCAAAGTGCATTTAAAAATATATATTTCTTACACACATCTCATCAGCCCTGCTTTTTGAGAGTATGGCTCATCAGCAGCGCTGGTTGGACAAGTGACACTCTGGAGTGGTTTCGAAATTCAGTGTCTCATGAGCGGAGGGGATTTGTGTCAAACCAGGGCCGATATCTCTCAATTGAGAGAACCTCCGAGTTTTGTTTTACTCGTCAAATCAGAAGGCTGTGTGGTTGCTGGGATGTGTCGAAAAACACATTTTCTTTGTTTCCTGGTTTTGACATCCACTTGCCACATCAGCAGAGTCGACGTGAACCAATGCTGGTGAACTGCCCGTTTATCGGCAAGGACCTTCTCTGAGAGACGTGGGGTCCTAAGCTCAACGCAAAGCCCTGTAGTGAACAACAGCGGATCATCGCTGCTGGTGTTGTTATGGAGAACATGAGCAACACAATAAATGAGCAGAAACCGGTCCGGAGTTTTGCTGCTTGCGTTGAACCAACGCCGCTGAAATTACGCACTCCCGGAAAGACGTTGCGGCTGACGGAATGTGTAAAAACATCACCTGTATTTTGTTATGCGTAGAGACAAGCCCCGGGAAAGAGATGTCGCGCTTATTTATTTAATCTCCATGTATTCTCCTGCGACGGCGCGAGAGCGACGCTTGTTTTGGGCTGTCTGCTCGCGCGTGCCTCCCAACGTCCATTACACGTTGGTTTATGCCGAGTGGCGGGGCGTCGCGGGTGTAACGACGCGTGGACTCCCCGCACGCTCTCGTCACTCGCGTCGTCCTTGAGGATGTGAGAAACAAAATAAACAAGCGGACGATTCATCTCCTTCCTTCCCATATCTGTCCCTCCACGTGAATAACTACGAGCGCGTTTCACACATCCCATCAGCCGTGAGGCCTTCCCCCTACGAGTGTATTTTGTTTTCGGGAGCGTTGGTTCAACGGAAGAAAAACTGGGCCGGTTTTCGACATTTGGTGTCTCATCAGCGTAGTCAGGCTTTGCTTGAACCAATGTTGGTCAACTGCTCGATGTTTACAGGCACGGGCCCTGCCCTCTCCGCTAGGTATGGGTACGATGTTAATGCTAAAGAATCAATTCAATAAGACAAAAGACTCGCTAAAAATATTAATAACAAAATAAATAAGTGGACAATATACCTCATTTACATATCTGTCCCTACAAAGGAATATACGTAAAAATACATTTTTACACATCCCATCAGCCCATCCTAGCGTTAATAAATGAATAAGCATTGGTTCAAACAAAACTCTAGACTGGTGTCGACATTAAAACCAATGCTGATGAGCCTACTCCAACCACATTTTATAAAAAAGAGCTCCCACAGTGACCTAGCTGTCAGACATGTAATGTAGAGATACGATGCTTCGAGAAAAATCATCGTTAGTATTTGCCACCCTGGGTGGTAGCGATGGAAGGTGTTTGTGACCTTTTGTGCCGTGCGTTGCGATCCAGGGAGCGAGATCGACGGAAGCTGGGGGGGCCTCGTCAGTGCAAGCTGTGGGGTGCAAGCGTTGCCAGCAACTGCAGGTAACACTCTACACATTCGCTACGTGGTCAGTCATATGGGTCGGTGAGTGGTTGTGTGTGTGGTTGGGTGGGTGAGTAATTTGGTGGGCGAGTGTGTGGTTGGGTGAGTGGTTGGGTGGGTCGGTGGGTGAGTGGTTGGGTGGGTCGGTGGGTGAGTGGGGAGTGGTGACGTGGTTATCGCACTGCGCTACGAACCCGGCGACCCGAGTTCAATTCCCGCTCACGACCAATAAAAGTGGTGAATATTTGAACTGGTCCTGGGCCTCCTCTAGGTCGACTCGGCCTCAAATGAGTAGCTGGTGCGTAAACATCGCCACTATGGAGACCACGGCGGCCAGGCATGGTGCTGACCACCCATCCCCTCGTGTACCGTGATGGTCTTCATAGGTGCTCGCTCACCGCACTTGCCCCAACAATCTGTCAAGACTGCATGGGGGACATTTGTCTTTGTGTGTGCATTCAGGGACAGTTGCAGGAAGAGCGCAGAGCTCGTGAAGCAGCTGAGCTTCGCGTAACGCAGGTCTGCACGCACAGACGTACGCACGGACTCGGCAGACAATTTGCATCCTTCACATTCGGTCCCTCCACATAGAGAAATACAAGTACTTTGTACACATCACATCAGCCACACGGCCTTCTTAGCAGCATTGTTGGTTCAACAGAAGCAAAACTGTGAACAGGTTTTGACATTCATTGTCTCATCAGTAAAAGCCAAGCTTGCTTGGAACCAATGCTGGCGAAATTCCAGATGTTTATTGACGAGGACCCCCCCACTGTTAGATGTGGGTCCCAGATCGAACTACCATACACAGCACATAATCACCGCGTCGTGTGGAGCATATAAGCCCTTAAAAAAATACACATAACTCTTATCAGAATCAGAAGTTTATTTCCCGAGTAAAGGCCATCGAGTTCAGAAACTATTTCAAGGGCGACAACATCCAAAGCATGTTTAAGTAAATTACGCCGCAATTTGGGAAACGCACAGCAGCAATGTCGCCCCCCACTGTGGACACTTGGCAGGACCCTCCTGAGAGAGAATCTTGAGACTCGGCGGGGCTTCCTGGGTAAACGAGCGGAATACATATAATAATCTGGGAGTGGATTGATCAAGGGTAAAATTAAGAAGAATTGTAAAAGATTGCCCAAGTGTAACCACAAAGCCACCTGCCGCTGTTGCTGTGAACACACTGCACAACTCATGTGGGGAGCTGGTTCCCTGAAGTTCACGCGGCGGTCGTCCTGCGCTGTGTCTTCGCGAGCAGCTGCAGCGGGAGCGATTACGCCTCCAGGAAATCAACTCGGGCCTCGCCAGCCAGTTGCTGCTGGCCGCGCCTTCCGATAAGGGGGCCTTTGGGATGGGCCCACGCGGGAGCCGAGCGGGGTTGATAGGAGAATGGCGACCCGAGATAATAAGCGAGGGTGTGAGCGACGCGCACAGCAAGGAGGTGTGGGACGAGCCGCTGCTCAGCGCCATGGAGGCCTCCGTGCACAAGTTCTCCAGCTTCCTGGATCTGCTCAGGGATGCCGGGTGAGTGGCCGTGATCCATCCACCGCTGGATGAAGGCCGCCCAAAGCTGGCGGCGCGCACACAATGTGGCCCTGCGACGATGCTACGGTCCGCCTTACTCCTGCACGCGAGCGGATTTCATCGTTCCGTCTCCTAGGTGGACATATTTTCGGACACGTTTCATTTCTTTGACCGCTGCTCTATCACTGGTCCTGACCTTTGGCCATGCTCCCTTCTGGCCGTGACGCGTGCTGCCCAAACTTCACTCACTTCTCTCAACATCCAATCTGATGTCTCTCACCCTGTACGTGTTCTTTGATGTTTTCGCCTTTCTGTCTTCTTTGTCTCTCGGCATGGTCTAACCGCTGCTGGATGAGGATCAATATGATTATGAATCTACCTTGCGTATATGTTCTCTCATCCACGTGTTCTTCTTTCCATCTCTGCAGGTCACAATAACACTCGCCCAGTCACTCACCAACCCCACCAACTTGCACACATGCCCACTCAACCACTCATCCACCTACTCACACATTCACTCTCTTACAACACTGATAATCTTGCTTATTTAAAAAAAGAAAAACGTGTTACACTGTGATCTGTCACGCCTTCGGTTAGTGCTGTTTGTTGCTGGCCGCTTGACGTTTTGGGCCTTTTTGGTTTTGTGCTCAGCGACTGTGCGGAACAAAAATGCGCACGCACACAGAGCCCTCCCCCGTGGATAAATCATCGATCGCTCGTGCTCTGTGGGGGGTTGCGTGATGTCGCTGCTGTCTGTGCCAGGCTGGGTGAGCTGGCTTCCATCGCCGGCATCGACTCCTCTGACCTGCGCCCCTTTGGATGCACCTCGTCGCTTGTCGAGGGGGTGGCCGCATCACGCGGCCACGGCGACGCGGCTGCAGAGGTTCGCTTTGGTTCCAATGCGGCCCCTCGCCCCGGTCGATACTTATTGCCGCAGGTGCGTGCGGAGTAGCAAATTAAATTTGCTGCTCCCCTTTAATAGAAATAAAATTAAAAAAACACTTTGTAGCTGGGCTGATAAAAGCAAAATTGGCCACGATCCCTCGGCCAATGTTACTGCTGTTATGCTGGAGGGCACGCAATGGCGGAGCCAGGATTTTCAGGTGGGGGGGCAACCCCTCCAGCAATGAAAAATGATTGGAGTTGCTAGTAAGTAAGGACTTGTCCCTTGCTTTTTATTGGACACGTGTGCGGCGATGGCATAGCCATCGATCGAGGGTCGAATTCAAACCGTGTGTGATCGGCATCGCGCTCGCTGAAGGTATGCCTTCAGGGAAGTCGTGTACTGTATACGGAACTGCGCACAATTCTGAGTCACTTTTAACTGCTTTGCCGTTACTTATTGCCAATTATAGACTCAGACTATTGTCCTATCATCTCATAGAGTCCCTGGCACGTAATACTATGCTACACAATGGCAGCGGGGGTCACAAAATGCCGATTTATTACTAATAAACCCCAATGATTCGATCGAAATTAGGGATTTCGATCGGATCATTGGGGAGGCACATGCCACCCCCCCCCCCACTGGCTCCGCCAGTGAGGGCACGTTCGCCATGGTTCCCTGAGGTTGGCATGGTGTTAGAGAAAGTAGCTCCCCAATCAGAAGGTCACTAGTTCCAATCCTGGTTGGGGGAGGTTGACCCATCCCATCATCCTGACCATCAGGGTTCATAAAATAAGTACAACTTTGCAGGGAAGATTAACAATATCTGCCCTCTGGATAAATTTGCCCCCGCCATAAGAATTGAGGATTTCCACCACTGGCCCTGTGGGGCTGTCAACGGCAGATGAGCACCAATGCCTTGATGCTCATTGCAGCAGTTAATCACGCTTGACTTTTTAATAACACAGCAGAGCAGCGGATTTTGTTGCATGCCCTCTCACAGTGTAGCCCCACAGCCTATAGCACCGGTGATGCATACCCCGCTGCATGTTCACAAGTGTTTGTGTGATCTGGTTTTAATTGTAATCAATGTTTTATTCGTAGCGTCGTTCGTGTCGGTTTTTATCTCAAAACGCAGTAGAAACCCGCCCAGTTCCCCGCACGCGAGGCGCGGGACACAACAGTGGCGGCAGGGAAGGCATCCGGAACTGGCACCAACAGTTTCCCAAGCTCTGTGGTCCTCTATTGGGACACTTGGACAACTCTATTAATGAAGATGAATGTGTGTGTGCGCGTGTGTATAGGGGAGCCTCAAATGAGTACATGGTGTGGTGTGTAAACATCACCACTAGGGAGACAAAGGCAGCCGGATGTGGTGTTGGTCACCCACCCCTCGCATGCCCTGCCGGCCTTCATCGGTGCTACTCGCTAACGGCACTTGCTCCAACAGTCTGTTAAAGGCTACACGGCGGTTCTTTGTCTTTTTGTGCTTGTGTGTATAATTTGAGCAACAGATTCCGTGTGCTTCACAGGCCAGCGTCTCCACTCTGTAGCGAGACCTCGACACCGACCCACGCTGTCTGCATGCCCGCCTCTGTCGGCCAACACGCGGCGACGGCGGCGGCGGCAGTGACTCGGCGGCCCAGCGATAGCGCGTTCGCCCCCTTTCTGCGGAGGTTCGCGGTTTCGAATCTGCCCAGGCCACCCTGGTTAATACTGCAGTGTGTAGGAACTGTGATGTACTCCACGCCCTCTGTTTCACTCACAGTGGCCGTTGAACATCCCCTCCCATTGCACCATTGGAAGGAGAGTAGGCCAATGTTTGCCAACGTCATGGTCCAAATTTGCAAAAATACGGCGCAAACTGCTCAGTTGGGAAGGCGTAGCGATCGTCGCCCCCCTCTTTCTACGCTACCTTGGCAGGACCCTCTTGAACAAGAGTCTTGGCACTCCAGTGAGGCTTTTCTGTTTCAACAGAAACATACCTGCACCAAGACATTATTGGCAGACCTTTTCGAAGTCTGTAACGGTTTGGTTTTTTAAAAATGTTTGATGATTTAACTCTTGATTAATTGCGTGATAATCACAAGTGCCCTAAAAAAAATCACAAGGTTGTTCTACGGTTGGGATGAACGTTCCTGACTTGATAAGACTTCAATGTAAATAAATGTGGTTGATGATGATGCTCTGTTAACCGATTCAGTAATTTCCTTATCGCTCTTCTATCACTACTACCACGGTGGTTCCTGTTCCCGTGAACTTAAATCGTTGATACCTCCACCCACATTGAGGACAACCAGACACTTTCATCTCATTCAGTGTTCAACCACCACATTCTGGGTCACCCACTGACACAAGCACTTGCCCACTTCCAAACATACCCACTCGGCAACAATAGCTGCCATTCGCCACTGATTTGGCGGTGACGTCACCACGCCACTTGTGCCAGGCTAGGTGCACTTTGTGGCCACATTAAGTGTCGAAGGCTCGCAGCTGGCAGTAGGTCACGGGACAGACCCAGGTGCCATGGGTTGATTGAGATGACCAGCAGAGGCACCACGTGCTCGTAAGTGACGCTCCTCTGCCCTGCATTGTTTTAGAGGGCGACTGCCTCCAGCTGCCCAGTAGCGACCTTCACGAGCCTCCTCAACACACTCACCCTTTCAGAGACAAAGGTCCCCAGATTAGCCTTGAACAGACTGTTGGAACAAGTGATGACCTCCACCAAACCACCACCTCCATCGCCTCCAACAACAACAACAGCCTCTATTCGCCACTAAGTGGCGGTGACGGCACCACAACGCTTGTGCCAGGCTCGGTGCACTTTAAAGCCCCGTGAAGTGTTGAAGGCTCACTGGGAGGCCACGGGACAGATCCAGGTTGTCCGGGTTGACCGACTGGAAGATGCTACTACCACCTGCGCTCCCCGCTGTGCCACCTCGCTGCATTTTATCCGCCCGGCTCTCCTCTCATTGTTGTGAGTGTGGATCCTCTGCCCTCCGTTGTTGGAGTGTGACCGCCTGCCCAGGAGCGTCCTTCACGAGCCTCCTCCACAGAGGCCGATCTTGAGCCCCCGATGACGTAATCCTTCTGGCACATTGGTGCGCGCCTAGTTCATGATCAAGTTAAGCTTTCCAATCACTTCTATCACGTCCGTATGGCCAGCGTTGAAGAGTCGACCCAATGCAGTAAGTCTGCAGCTCCCTGCTAGGTGAGCTGCCAGCAGCGGCGTGCGCGAGCAATTGCAGGGCCTGCGCCTCTATAGTTATTGTTTATCACGCGCGTGCCATGTGAACCAGGCCGTTCCCACGCTCACGCTTCACGTGTTTTCGATTAAAACTGGATTTATTAAATCATCGAATAATCGCCACGTGTCCTAAACGATGACCCCCCAGTGCCCCGCCCCTCCGCCCGCATTCCCCCTCACCTCCTCGTTCTACCCCGCCCCTCCCCCGTACGTGGGCCGCCCCGCCCCCTGCCCCGCCCCCTCCCCCGCCTCACCCCGACCCAGGGAGGCGGTGACGTCACGAGGGCGCAATGGCGGCGCTCGGCTGCGGGGTCCGGGCCGGGAACTGCGCGGGGCAGCGGCGGCCTTAGGCGCGGAGTCGGCGGCGGTGGTCGGCGGCGGCTGTGGTGGTGGTGGTGGGGGGGGGGATCGCATCGCATCGCACGGGCTGGGGTCTCGCACACCCAGAGAGAGAGGAGGAGGGGGGTCCTCTTACGGGGATTTCAGGGGGTCTTCCTCGCGGGGGTCGCGAGCTGTGCGGCGGCGGCGGCGGGGGGGTAGTGGGTGGGTAGGGGGTGGTAGAGGCGGGTGGTAGAGGCGGGTGGCGCCATGAGCTGCTGCATGAGTCCGCAGGCGAAGGAGCAGCGACGGATCAACGACGAGATCGAGCGGCAGCTGCGGCGAGACAAGAGGGACGCGCGCAAGGAGCTCAAGCTGCTTCTGCTCGGTGAGAGGCGCCCGGCGAGGCGGCGGCGGAGAGAGACGTGGTGGGGGTGGGGGGGGTTGGAGATGATGATCAAGACGAAGGGAACGGGGAGAGATGCTTGGAACGCGGGGAGATGAGGGGAGACGAGGGAGAGATGGGGGAGATGAGGGTAAGAGATGAGGGGAGACGAGAGGGAGATGGGGGAGATGAGGGTAAGAGATGAGGGGAGACGAGGAAGAGATGGGGGAGATGAGGGTAAGAGATGAGGGGAGACGAGGGGGAGATGAGGGTAAGAGATGAGGGGAGACGAGGGAGAGATGAGGGTAAGAGGTGAGGGGAGACGAGGAAGAGATGGGGGAGATGAGGGTAAGAGATGAGGGGAGACGAGGAAGAGATGGGGGAGATGAGGGTAAGAGATGAGGGGAGACTTGAGGGAGATGAGACAAGTGAGATGGGAGAGATGATGGTGACAGATGGGAGAGATGAGGTGAGATGGGGGAAACTGGAGGGAGATGAGGAGAGACAGGAGTGAGATGTGAGAGGTGAGGGGGAGAGATGAGGGGAGACGAGAATGAGATGGGAATGACGGGGGAGGGAGGGGGGTATGAGATGAGGAAGGTGAAAGAGACGGGAAGAGTGGGAATAAGAACGAGCCAGAGATGCGTTGACGAGGTGGGGGAGAGAGGGCAAGGGAGGAGTGAGAGATGAGGGACGAGCGATGGAGATTGAGAGACGGGGAAGATGCAGTGAGATACGACGGAGAGAGAAATGGGGAGACGTGAGGGATGAGGAGAGCGGACTCGGGAGAGAGATAATGAGAGAGACTGTGGGGAGACGTGGACAAGAGTAGAGACGTGGGTGGGGGTGAGAGACGTGAAGGTAGTGAGAGGCGAGACGGAGCGGAAGGGACGAGGTGTGGATTTAAGACCAGGGGGACGACAGGAGACGCACAGGGGGTAGCGACGTGAGGGAGCGTGGACAGGAGAGATGAGGGACGAGGGGAGATTCGGGAGAGATGATCATTAAGTGAAAGGAGGAGAAAGACCGGAGACAACACTGGAGATAAAAGGGAGAGAGAGTATGGGGGGGGGGGGGTGAGTTGACGGGGGACGTGGAGGAAAGACAGGAGAGAGACGGGGGGGGAAGACGTGAGAGAAAGGTGAGAGCGAGAGAGAGACGGGGGGGGAGACGTAAGAGAAAGGTGAGAGAGCGAGAGAGATGTGGGGGGCAGGAGAGGCGATTGAGACGGGGAGGGGGGAGACGTAAGAGAAAGGTGAGAGAGCGAGAGAGAGAGATGTGGGGGGCAGGAGAGGCGATTGAGACGGGGGGGGGGTGGGAAAGTCCGGGCGAGTTTATCCGGCGTGGGAGACAGCCTGGGGCCCATAATGACGACGATGTAAATGATGACGTCGGTGAATGATGATCATGATGATGTGGAGTTCCTGACGACTATGCTGATGGTGCCGGTGATGATGGTGAGATTGATGATGATTATTGCGATTATGGTAATGAATATCCTGGTTATGGTGTCGTGGTCGTTGTGATGGTGGATTAGGTGATGGCGATTATGAACATGATGCGGTGGTGGTGGTGATAATGCGATATCTTTGATGATGGCGCCTTATGGGATGACGGTGATGGTGATGCCAATTACATTACCGTATACTCGTTTTTACTCCGGAAATCTTCACTGAGTCTCAATGCACTTTTGTAAGGAGGGACCTGCCAAGTTTTTTGCAATGGGGGACAATGCTGTTGCCCAATACATGTAATTCGCGGTGTATGTTTTCTCTCCTTAAATGTGGACCGTGACAACGGCACACAATGGGCCCCCCAATTCTTCGAATAACGTCACGGGATCTCGAACGTCCACTGCGAGTGAAGTAGAGGTCGCGCCCTGCTTCACCGCAGTGTTAACCAGGGCTGCCCGTGGTGGTGAACCGCGAAAGTGCCCAACAATCGGCGAGCGCGCCACCGCTGGGCCGTGTCACCGCCCCAATTACTCGACCGTAATTATTGTGGAATTTGCAGGGAAGTAGAAACACTTCACATAATGGTTTGATATCATTACAGCAACAGCGATGGATTTTCACCGGGTTGGGAACTTTGCTGCTCACTGACGAAGACTTGTGTCACCTCGTAGCGCACGTGTTACACACGTTGGTGGGTTCCCATCCGAGCCCTATCCAGGCTCAAGGCTGCTTAGCTTACGAGAGTTCGCCAGGTGGGTTGGGATGTTTTTTTTTGTGCTCACGCAGTTGCTGAGCATAGGGGGCCCACAGGCCCAGCACGTCAAGCGGCCAGTAACAAACTGCACTATCAAAGTGGTATTTGATAAGCGCGTACGAACGGGTTTCTTGATTTGAGCAAGGTTATTTATAAGAGTTTTGGGTGGGGAAAAAAAGAGGCGATGGTGGTGGGAGTGGAATTCCACATTGGAGCAGTGTGGTGAGTGAGATGGTGTGTTGTCGTGACCTACAAGTGGGGTGAGTGAATAGGTGCATAAATGAATGAGTGTGTTGTCGTGACCTGCAAGTATGGTTGTTGAACACATTGTGGATAAGATTAAACAGACTTACGTCAACAAAACTGACCCTGCCGACGAACCCCCACCCCCCTCCCCATATACTTGCCTAGATACCCTGCCAGGCTTTTCTTGGCAGACTAACCAGGCCGCACCGGGTGGAGCGCCATAGGTCTGCGAGTTAAAAAAAAATATTCTAAATTGGTAGAAGGATTTACAGTTGTGCATTTGTATGATTTAAACCATTTGTCTTGAAGCTCAAAATACGTGTATACTTGTAGTAGACATCACGACCAGTGGTACAGAGCTGATGTTTAAAGAAGGGAGGTTGCGAAGAGTGACCCGGTGAGTGAGAAGGGAATGTTTTTGTGATAACAGAAGGGGCAAAGATTAAAACGCAGCAGTTCCACAATTTTCAGACGAACATTTAGATACTTTAAAGATGCGGGTAATCGTCGGTGTAATTATGAGGGGTAGGCTTTTTATTGGCCAGCTTGAACTCTGAACAATTATCCCTGCTGCACTCAGCAGGAATTTAGCTGATACTGGAATCCTGCTGTTGTCATATGTGGGGTGAAGCTCTTAGTTCCTCCTATCTCGCTGAGTCATCTGGCCAGGTGGTTCAGCGACAGAGTGGCCCGCATTAAACGAAGATTGTGAGTTCAAATCCTGGTTTGTGGGTTTGGCCTATCCACCCCTCCGGGGTGTATAAAATGCATACCACTTTGTGGGGAAGTCAACAGTGATTGTCCTGAGGATAAGAGGCTTCCCCACCATATGAATGTGGAATTTCCACGACTGGCTATGCGGGGCTGTAAACAGGCAATGGGCACTGCCACAGTGGTCATTTGAGCAAAAACATACTTTGATTTCTGATTTTTTTTTACTTGGGCATAGGAAGTCAACCAATTAGGGATGTAGTTCAGATATAAATCATCTTTCCACCGTGTTTCAGCTGCCGTTGCATACCTACTTGAGCGGTTAAAATCGTTCTCTCTGCGTCACGTCTAAAACCAGTTACAGTTTACAACACACAGAAATCACTGGCAGCGATGGACATTCTCACCCATTGAACCAAGAGACGAAAACGTCGGCAACAGTCGGGCAATGCTCAGCACAATGCACTCGCAAATCGAGAGGTCGCCGGTTCCAGTCCATCTCCCTGGTGCTGTCGTTGAAACAACGAGGCAAGATTCTCAAATCCCTCTCACCACCTCTGTTTTTCCAGCATTATAAATTAATGCATCACAGGTTAGTCGATCAGCAGGCTATGTGCGGTGGGGTAAAGTATTGATATGCCTACATCCCACAAGACGTCTGGCCAGTATGGAATAGACAAAATTGACTCGTGGAGTGTCTATTGGAGGCCCTTCTGCCAGCAGTGGCAAGAGCGAGCAATTGCAGGGCTGCACCTTTACATTCAAGTGCGAAAACGAGGCCGTGCTGTTCCCACGAGTCAATTGGTGCATTCATTCAGAAGATTCCACTCGAATCGATTACTGGTTCCTGACTTTTAGAACCGATAAACAATTCTGGAACCAGTTACCAGTTTCCATTTAATAACCCTCATACCAAGAAACAACATTGTGTGCCCATCCCCTAATATTTGTGCATATTAACCAGTTCCCCTCTACCCATGCAGAATGTGTTGTGTTGGACTGCGTGTGATATTTGTTGCATAAATGCATACTGTGTAAGTTATAGATTTAGAACGTGTGCATATATTTATGTGCGTGCAATGTGTGTGAGTGTTTATGCGGGGGAGCGGTGGCGTAGCGGTTAGCTCGCTGTGCTACGAATCTGGCTACCCGAGTTCGATTCCCACTCACGGCCAACACCAGTGACGGTTATCTGTACCGGTCTTGGGCCTCCCCTAGGTTGACTGCACCTCAAATGAGGACCTGGTGCAGTGTGTAATCATCGCTACTGGGGAAACAAAGGAGGCTGGGCATAGTGTTGGCTACCCACCCCTTCGTGTGCCGTGCCCATCTTTATAAGTCCTCGCGAACAACACTTGCCCCAACAGTCTGTTAAGGCTGTATGGAGATCTTTGTCTTGTGTGTGTATATGTGCGTACGTGTCATTGCGCTTTTATTATGGTTTTTTTTATTCGACACCCTGGTGTAAACCTTTTCAAATGAGACGTTGGGTGTCAAGCCATTTTCGAGGTGAAATATAGTAATACAAAAAATCAAGGCAAATCCTTGTGGACACATTTATGCCCATTTTGTTTTGTGTAGGTACGGGCGAGAGTGGGAAGAGCACCTTCATCAAACAGATGCGAATCATCCACGGCTCGGGCTACACGGAGGATGACAAGCGCAGCTTCATCAAGCTGGTCCACCAGAACGTGTTCTCGGCCATGCAGGCCATGATTCGTGCCATGGAGACGCTGGGCATCCCCTACGCGAACGCGGGGAACCAGGTGCCCTTCCTAGAAAAGCTCCGTTTGCTGTTCTGTACCAAAACCGTTTGAGAACTCCCAACTGTTATCACGGCAGTTTTATACAAAGCACAGAATTGGAATGCCGTCGTCATAGCTGGGGAGTAGCACCCAGCTCCTACCTCACTGCACTTAATAGATAAAGCGGCCCGGGTGATTGATGATCCAGCACGCACCGATTTGCTATGGTCACTGACTCCTTTACGGCGGCTCAGTCGCCTACTTACCACTCTGCTGCCACTACTTCCGTGGTTGCTGTTCCTTTTGAACTTCACTCATTGACTCCTCCTCCGATGTTGATAGTTTCGTCTCATCCACACTGTGTTCTAGCACCACATTACAGATCACAACAACACACTCATTCACCCACTGAATACCCCAATATGGGACCACAGAGCTTGGGCAATTGTTGGTAGTGCGACTTCTGGCTGCATTCCCTCCCACTTGTCTGGTTTCCCGCACCTTAGTACGAACAACTGCGCGCGTTACAAATTATCCATAAATTTGAGAGATGCCTTTGACGAACGACGTTATGTACAAATAAAACATACTTATTGTTGATGTGATGTGACCCTCCCCCCCCCATGGAACTGTCCGCCCTCAGGCTCACGCGCAGCTGCTCCGCGAGGTGGACGTGGAGAAGATCTGCTCGCTGGACAAGCCGTACATCGAGGCGGTGCGGTGCCTGTGGGCCGATCCTGGCATCGAGGAGTGCTACGATCGCCGGCGCGAATTCCAGCTCACGGATTCCGCCAAATAGTGCGTACTTCTCGCACGCAATGGGAGCGGTCACAGTAGTGCATGGTTCAAATCCAGCAGGCCGCCCTGGTTAACACTGCGGTGTGCGTTCATGATAAATTCTACGCGCCATTCGCGTCACTCGCAGTGAACATTATAGATCACGTGACATCATTTCGAGAAAGGTAGGCCACAAATTGCTCCGTTAAATTACTTAATTGGGAAATATAGAAATTGGCGCCCCCTACTGTGAAAACTTGGCAGTACTCATCTGAACAAGAGTGGAGACTCAAGTGAGGCTTTCCTGTAAAATCGAGCCTCATTATAATAATGCATATTCAGAACAACCTTCACAACCTACACATCATTGGAAGGCCCGCAACCAGCAGTGGATTGAGAAAGGCCTGTGTATGCACACAAACAAAATTTAATGAGGACATTTTTAAGGCAGAACAAAATTAAAACGATGTATGGGAGCAGAAGTAGAAACTGTTTCTGAAATCTCTTCTTCAAGTGACTGCAGATCCAGCCTAGGAGGCAGCACTTTCCCGACTAATTTGGGCAATTTAAGTGCAGAACCATATTTAATGTGATGCCATAACTTTTCTGGGCTCATTGGTGACCAAGCTGAGGACCATCAACCCTTTGCTACATTTGAGCAACCAGTTTGAATCGCACACACCTGAAACCCGGATTGGAACCCATGGTCTCAGTGGTGCCAGCTCATCGCTCTGACCTCATCACCCCGCGAGGGGTCCAGAGTCCACCGCGTACCCGAGCGCTGGAGGCCACCGAGTTGAAATCACCCCCAATCATCGAGCCCTCGGCTGGGCCTCGCCTTCCGGGAGTGCATCTCAGCAGCGGCATTGGTTCAACACAGGCAAAACTCTGGACCGATTTCAACATACAGGCGACTCCCGCACCTAGGACCTAATTGGTTCCTGTATGACGGTCGCAAGTGTAGCCCGTAGTAAGTCGAACCCTTTTCTCCCATTGGTGCAATGTTATACATTGGGGTTACATTCCTGGAAATCCATTACATACCATAAAAATACCAAAATTGATAGTGAAAATAAATGAAAAAAACCCTAACAAACATTTATTGCAATGTAACATAACTTTTTCAAAAATGTATTAAGTAAACACAAACACTTACATTTGAAAATCCTTTCAGTACTGTTCTGCACGTGCATCACATTTCATCTTCTCAGACATAGCGAAAGGCGAAGGCATTTCATTTGCGTTCGCTCCAGGCACAGCTGCAGACTGACAGGCTATACTGTACATACGGTGGAAGAGCAAAGTAGTACCAATCGACTCGGCGTCGGGAGCAGTCGTTCGGGGGTCGTAGGTACGAGTTCTGGTCGTTACTGTGGGGGTCTTATTATAAAAAAGGTCGGAAAAGTGGGGGGTCGCAAGTCGAACCGTTGTAAGTCTGGGGTCACCTGTACAGTGTTTATTTTTTATATATATACATACACACCGGCTTTCACGACCATTATGGGTTTTTGGGTTAGGTCGTGGAAAAGGACTCGGATCAGGAAGTACTTTCATTCGAGATCTGAGCTGTTAACTTGATGATGCTGAATGTCATCTCCAGAGAATCTTCAACAACACCGGTGGGGCTGAAGCAGTAAAATAAAAATGTTCACATTTTTTCACGTAACACTTTCATAAATTGGCTGTGTCGCGTGGAGGTGGATTTACGACACATTCTACCCGACCTAACCCAAAAACCCTTTTATGAATCGTACAGGGTTGGGCTTGCATCAACCATTGGTTCAACACAAACAAACTAGACTGGTTTCAACATTCAGTATCTCATTAACAGAAGCAGGTTTGTGTTGAACCATTTCTCGTGTTGAACCATTTCTCGTGTTGAACCATTTCTTGTGTTGAAAAGGCGCACCTTTTGGCGTCATCTGGTCCAACACCATTTGAGACTAGGCTCTAAGGAAAGCTGTCTCGGGTGTGGACCAATCAATTTCAAGGATAGTGCATACATTATCAGTTATGTTTTTTGTTTGCATTCCGACCGCAGGTATTGTGGTCAATGCAAACATGACTCCTTGTAAAAAAGGTGTCAGTTTTGTTGCCAGATAAATGGGTAAAAAAACCAATAATCAAAATGGCATTTGTAGCACCATTATATATTTGGATTAGAACATCACAACGATGGTTGTTATGATTGCCGTGTGTATTTGTGCAGTTACCTGAACGACTTGGCCAGAATTTCTGCCGTCAACTACCTGCCCACACAGCAGGACATCCTGCGGGTGCGCATCCCCACCACCGGCATCATCGAGTACCCCTTCGACCTGGAGAACATAATTTTCCGGTGAGCCCGGACCTCGCCTCTGCACACGCGCCCTGCACGCCATCCACTCATCCACACCAAAGCTCGGGTCTCGTCTAACAATCGTGTTTTATTTTTACTAGGCTTGTTAAAATATATTTTATTTTACGCGAGATTAAGTTTATTTTCTTTAACCCAGATGAGAACTCGAGAGGTCAGCGTCTGCCTTGCAGGATTGACCTGGGTCATCGAAATTACAAAAGCAAAACAAATCTAGTACAGAATTACGCAAATAGAAATCGGAGGATGTGGAGCTGGGTGGATTTAGCGATGACTGGTACCAGCGGTGTCAAAATCGGCCTCGAATGGAGACTAGTGAAGGATACTACTAACCAGTTGGCGGCAGTCGCCCTCTGACGACAATGGAGGTCAGAGGAGCGACGCTCACAACAACGAGTGGAATGCTGAGGCAGCTAAAACGCAGAAAGTTGGCACAGTGGGGTGCACAGTTGGTGCATCTCAGTCAACCCATGGCACCTGGGTCTGTTTCATGACCTCCCCGCGAGCCTTTAACACAATGTGGCCTCAAAGTGCAACTGGCCTGGCACAAGCACCGTGATGACGTCACCATCACTTAGTTGTAAATGGCGGTTATAATTGGAGGTGGTTGTGTAGGTGGTGGGTGCTGGAGGGTGGTAGAGGTGGTCGTGTACTGGAGGTGGTGGTGTGGTAGTGTCAGATGTTGCCTGCTCCGCCGTCTGGCATCACCGCTGTGTGGTGTCTAACCGCCCTCCTCTGTGCAGGATGGTGGATGTGGGGGGTCAGAGGTCGGAGCGCAGGAAGTGGATCCACTGCTTTGAGAACGTGACGTCCATCATGTTCCTGGTGGCACTGAGCGAGTACGACCAGGTGTTGGTGGAATCCGACAGCGAGGTGAGGGCGGTGGTGAGTGTGGTGAGCGGGTGAGTGTGTGCTGAGGGCTGGGGTGGCAAGTAGGTGAGTGATTGGTTGAATAGGTTTGTGAGTGGGTGATTGAGTAGGTGGGTAGGTGAGTGAATGAGTTGGTGAGTGGGTGGGTAACGGTGAATAGGTGAGTGGGTGGGCGAGTGAGCTGGTGAATGAGTTGGTGAGTGGGTGGGTAACGGTGAATCGGTGAGTGGGTGGGCGAGTGAGCTGGTGAATGAGTTGGTGAGCTCTCCAAATTAATTATGTCATCTCATTTTTACCACCTAGTATAAAAAGTCGTTGGTGTAAAGGAAAACCTCAGTGAACTTGTTTTTTTTATCAAATCTATATTTTGGCTTTACACGGTTTACTAAACGAGGTTTGTTTTCTGGAACACGGGGTTGATGTTTTGGCTATATGCGGTTTGATGCTACTATGGTTGTTGCTAAGATAGTTGCTAGGCTTGAGAGAGATGAGTGCTGCATCAAAGTCGATTCAGTGTGAACGAATCGACTTTGATCACGATTTATTTGCCACATGGTTTTTGCGTGTTTTCTTTTGCGTGTGATAATGTAACACACACTCAACACGTTCAAGCACAACGCAAATGTTCAGACACATTGCCGCATGCATCTAGCCATCCAGTCGTTGAGGACGTCAAGTCACGCGGACGCCAACATGGTGAATCGTTAGCGTTCAAGTGACGGTGTCAGGGTCGAGAGTTTGGCTGGCGATTCAGTGTCAGGGGCGAGCGTTCAGCGTGAGTGCCGCGGTGCGGGAAGAGGAATGCAGATGGGGGTTTTGTGTACAGGTGGAATTGAAAGATAGATTTGTACGCACACACAAGAAATGGAGAGGGATTCTGGTATTTTTATTTACTTGATAAATACAAATATTTCACCTGGATAGTTCCTTTAGATGGAACGTCTCGTGTGCAAGGCTGTCCTGGTGTCAAGTGACACAGAGCAAACACGTAATTATGCACGCAGACAAAAGACAAAGATCCCCCAGTAGTATAGCCTTAACAGATTGTTGGGGCAAGCGCTTTTCGTGAGCATTTATAAAGGCCGACACGGTACACGAGTGGGTGGGTGGCCAACACCACGCCCGGTCGCCTTTGTCTCCTTCGTGGCGAATTTTTCACATCGCACCAGGAACTCATTTTAGGCTCGTGGAGGCACAGGACCGGTTCAGATATTCGTCACTGGTGTTGGCCATGATCAGGAATTGAAATCGGATCGCCGGGTTGGTAGCGTAGCACGCTAACCACGACACTACCGCTCTCCACAACACACACACACACTCGTACACAGTCAAAGATCCCCCATGTGGTGTTAACAGACTATTTGGGCAAGTATTGTTAGTGAGCACATATGAAGGCCAACACAAATGCTGATGTCACACACTCCACCAGCTCCTCATATAAGGCTGAGTCGACCCAGGGGAGGCCCAGGACTGGTTCAGTTATTCGTCACTGACATTGGCCGTGTGTAGAGCCGTATGTGTGTGTGTTAAGCCGTGTGTGCGTAGAGCCCTGTGTGCTGGAGCCGTGTGTATAAAGGTAAATGGTGCACCCTTCACCTTTCCTGTGTGTGTAGAACCGCATGGAGGAGAGCAAGGCGCTGTTCCGGACCATCATCACCTACCCGTGGTTCCAGAACTCCTCGGTCATCCTCTTCCTCAATAAGAAGGACCTCTTGGAGGAGAAGATCATTCACTCGCACCTCGTGGACTACTTCCCCGATTTTGACGGTAACCTTGAGCCATTGTTGTGTTCGCTCTGGACACGAATCTCACGCCAATGCCCAAAATTTTTTATTTTTGCCATTTTTTTCCCAGGAGAGACTCACAAAGTCCTCAGGACCCTCTTTCAGGAGGGTCCTTGCCAAGTGTTCGCAGTAGAGGACGATGTTGATGATGTGCAATGCGAAATCAATTCTTTAAATAACCTGGAACACCAACGATCTCATCAGATCTCGGAAGCGAAGCCGGTGCTGAGCCTGGACAGCGCTTGGATGGGCGACAGACAACCAGACACCAAAATAACTAAGTGGGAAATTCACCGCCTTCCCATCTCCGTCCCTCCACGTAACTAATTTGAGTATTTTGTACTCAACCTGTCAGCCATGTGGCCTTCCTTTTGGGAGAGATTTTTTTCAGCGGCATTGGTTCAACACAAGGAAACTCTGGAACAGTTTTGACATTCCTTGTCTCATCGGCAGTCAGGCTTGGAACCAACACTGGCGAACCGCCAGATGTTTGTAGGATCCTCTCCGTCAGATATGGCTCTTCGTTCATATAACAGGTGTTAAGCATTGTGGGGCTACATTTTCACCGAAGTTGACACTTGCCCTAACAGTCTGTTAATGACTATATGGGGTATCTTTGTTTTTGTGTATGTTCTCCCCGTGTTCTACAGAGAGAGTGTGCGTGTGAGAGTGAGTGAGAATGTGAGTCCGTATATTCTCCCTCTTGTTCTGCATGGGTTTCCTCCGGGTTCTAAAGTTTTCTCCCATAACCAAATAATATTTTACTGTGCTATTGACCAATGGCGGAGCCAGGATTTTCAGGTCGGGGGGCAACCCCTCCAGCAATGAAAATGATAGGAGTTGTTAGTAAGTAAGGACTTGTCCCTTGCTTTTTATTCGACGCGAGTGCGGCGATGGCATAGCCATTGATCGAGGGTCGAATTCGAACCGCGTTGTGTGATCGGCATCGTGCTCGCTGAAGGTGAATGCCTTCAGGGAAGTCGTGTACTGTATACGCAACTGCGCACAATTCTGTGAGTCACTTTTAACTGCTTTGCCGTTACTTATTGCCAATTATGGACTCAGACTATTGTCCTATCATCTCGTAGACTCCCTGGCACGTAATACTATGCTACACAGTGGCAGTGGGGGTCGCAAAATGCCGATTTATTACTAATAAACCCAATGATCCGATCGAAATTAGGGATTTCGATCGGATCATTAGGGGGGCACATGCCACCCCACTCCCCCCCCCCCCCCCCACTGGCTCTGCCAGTGCTATTGCTTAAACATCCCAATGCTGGGTTTATACACAGAAACGTAACCCCCCCTCCCACCTCCTCTTGCAAAAACTTGACAGGACCATCCTGAAACAGTCTTGAGACGTGGTAACGCTTTCCCTGGTAATGAAGCGTAGTAGTGGTAGTAATAATGACTACCCTGGTCACTTTTCTCGTGAGCCTCACTCGTTGATTCCTCCACCCATGTTGAGGACTCAAAAATTGGGTCCTTTCCACCTTGAATCTTGATGAAAGTTTGGTACCATTGTTGGCGCCATTCGGACAACGATAGAGTTCCACACCGGAGGCCAGTGGATCATAAGCCTTCAAAGTTGGGGGGGTCATTTGACCTCGCCTACAACTGTGCCAAATGTCAAACTTGGATCGGAGGCGGGCAGATTCGTACCTCCAAATGACTTGACGTGATAAAGCTCCAGGAAAGAATTGCGCACTTAATTTGGCGCTTGACATTCGAAGAGGACTGCGACCCTTAAAGGAATGGACCCCCACCCCCTACCGTGATTCAAACAAATCACTCGAGACACCGGCGTATGGCAGCAAGAGAAGTTTATGCGAACGCTGCCGCATGAGGTCAAGCGTTTTGACGCAGTGGCCCTTGGCCGACTGCGTGATGAGTGACGTGACGCGGCCACTCTCCGCGTTGTACGGGCGCTGGCCTGGTCTCGACTGCGCGTCTGCACCGCATCTCCCCGCCCAGGTCCCCAGCAGGACCCGCAGGCGGCGCGCGAGTTCATTCTGCGCATGTTCGTGGAGCTGAACCCGGACACGGAGAAGGTGATCTACTCGCACTTCACCTGCGCCACCGACACGGAGAACATCCGCTTCGTGTTCGCCGCCGTCAAGGACGCGATCCTGCAGCTCAACCTCAAGGAGTACAACCTGGTGTGAGCGGGGGCCCGGACTCGGGGTGTGGCGGGGGGGCGCGCACGCGGGCAGGGCGAGCGCGGGGGGCGGCCGTGGCGGGCGACGGTTTAGGCGATTGCGTTCGGACGAGTTGATCGGTCGACGGAGGGTCGATCGGCCGCTTCTCCGCGGTCGATCGCTCGGGAGGGGGCAGGGGGTGGCCCTTTATAAACGGCGTTCGCCCCGACGTCCTGCTCTCCCGAATGTGGGAAAACAACCCCCCCCCCCCCCATTATCCTGACTCCCGAAGGTGGGGAACCTCCCGACGAGCCACGCCCAGCGTGACGCGGCCGATAATGATAATGCTGACGATGCTGACGATGCTGATGACGCCACCGAGCCCCGCCCATCACCTCCCGTCCGGTGGCACACGTGGGAAGAGGTGATAAAAAAAACATTTCCTCCAGACTTTGTGTTATGCGGTTTTCCGAGCAGTCGAGCGACGGCAGACCGAGCGTTGAGTGGGTGAGCGTGCAGAGCCTTGGAGTGTGCGGTTAGCGGTGTAGTTTCATGGGTTGTATTCGTGGCTAAAGGATGTCACTTTCGTAATTAAAAAGGGTTTTTATTTTACTTTGTTCAAAGTGGATTATACTTCGCCACTTGCCAAATCGTAATCGCGAATGCGCAACCATTGGTCTTGGCGCTGGTCAGAACACCCCTTCTCACGCGCGCCGCCCGTGAAGAGTGTTATTTGAAAGCAAGTCGGCAGGTTCTTAAATGCTGCGTCATCAAAAACAAAGCCATGCCCTTTCAGAAAGTTGTGTAAAATTGTTTTATCTTAAAGATAAAAATTACTGATGTGGAATCGGCTTAAACTGTGAACACTTGTTTGCCATTGCTCTTACGATAATGTCTTCTGTCGGGACATTTCTCTTAATTTCTCTTGCAAAGAACGTTAACAAAAAAAGCATTATTCTCGCAGTAGCTGCTTCTGGAGATGTTTTTAAACACGCCCATTCCAAGTGGATAATTTTAAAATGATTCAATCAATGTTTGAATCGTGCGGTTAATTTAAGAGTGTCTGGGAAGACGCGATTCCACACGCGGTCACGAGAAAAGGGACGTACGAATGGTGCGGAGTGTGCGACGTACGTGGTGGCGATTGGAAAGCCAAGATGACATAAACGACGTCGCTTCACACAAATATCATTTAGACGTAATTTATTTTTGTATAGGTTCCTTCTGTTTTTAATTGCATTTTTTTTTAGCAAGATTTATATCGCAGGAGTCCGAACAGGAGCGGCGCGTTGGAATGGGTCGCCAGCGGTCGCTGCGCGCAGCCTCTGGCGGTCGTGACGCGCGGCTCTCCTGACCGCGTTTGGTTCGTGTCGCCCCGCGTCGTCCGGCACGAAGTCGGACGTTTCGCTCTCCGTGGCCGGGAGCTTCTTCAGGAACCCAATACCGAGTTTCTGAACGAGCTCCCGGGGGGGGGGGGGGGTGGGGGGCGGGCGATCGCCACGATGCGTTCGGAGAGCAGGCGCGGCGACGGCCGTGAACCACGCGTACAGACGGTACTTTAAATTTGTTACGTTAATACACTTCGCAACGCGCATTTACCATCAGACCACGGTGAAGTCACGAGATCGATGTGCGGCCTTGGGTTGAAACGGACTCGCGCTGAGACACGATGGCGGCTCCGTGTTTCTCCACAGCGGCAGTAGAGTGGGATATGCACTACATTCAAACAAAAACAACCATGGTGCATTTGTTTTTGACTCGGAACACTCGGGCGCTTTGTATATACTGCATATTTTATAACTTTAATGTGCAGTCTGTGAATATAAGTGGGGGTTTGAAGCTTGTTTTTTTTTCTACGAATACGTTAAGGACACTAATTGGAGCGCGTGGTGTGAATTGGAACCAGCTATCGTCTTGCCAATAAATGATTTGCAATGTAAGCGGCGGCGCGCCGCGCGCTCGTGACGTTCTGACACGTCGGTATTTTTAGGGGGTGCTACTACCCCCCTTGCCCCCCCCCCAAAAACCCCCCTTGCCCCCCCCCCCCCCCCCCCATTGCCGAGTTAGGTTGACCTGGCGGTGCGTTCTGGAAAGGGGTTCGTGTTTTAAACGCAGTTGCGGAACACAATTGAAGGCTCGTTTCTTTAGAACTGCTTTTTTGTGTTCAGTTTGTCGTCTTCCCCCCTCCCCGCACCTCCCGATTAGCACGGTGGGCTACGTACGGTGCGAATGAAGTTCAACATGCAGTACATTTTACAATCCCAAATGCCCAACATGTCAGGCGGCCAGCAACAAATAGCACTGCCGATGCCGCAGTGGGTAAGACATGACACGTTTCTGAGCTTAGAGGAGAAGGGACTGTGATGGGCGGAAATTCCACAGTCGAGCGGAGCAAGGGAAGAAGCAGAGAGAGAAGTGAGGGGTGACCTGCAGTGTGGCGAGTGTGAGTGAGTGGGTAAGTTGTTGAGTGAGTGAGCGAGTTGTGAGTTGCAGTGGGGTGGCTGAACAAAGTGTGGTGGATGAGACGACAGTCTGCTTGACCCAGTTCTCAACACGGGCGGAGGAATAGACGAGTGAATTTTACGGGCAGAGCAACCATTGTAGTAGCGATAGAAGCGTAATAAGGAGGGGGACTGTCGGTGAGTGAGCCTTTGAGTGCCGGCTCATCGGTCTCCTTAACTGCTCCGTCATCTGAATGCTTGCAGGTGCAGCAGTGAGGTAGGAACTGTGTGCTCCAGAGCCTCCAGTTTGCCACCTGTTGCAGAAGAGCAACGGGTGGACAAAGGTGGACGTGGCGGTGGTGAAGTCATCTGTTCCACCCCCCAGTTTGAAAAGTTTTGTGCGCCGAAAATTCACAGCGCGCACGTGCCACAGCGCGCACGAGCCACAGCGCGCACGTGCCACAGCGCGCACGAGCCACAACGCGCACGAGCCACAGCGCGCACGAGCCACAGCGCGCACGAGCCACAGCGCACGAGCCACAGCGAAGTTCGACCGCCCTTTTCCACACGACGGTCGACTGCCCTCTTGGTCGCCAGGTCCTGTCCATGCAAGGCCTCCTCGTCGGGCCCCATTGAGCGCGCTGCCTCCACGTGCCTCGCCGTCACGCGCACATCGTGGGGGGGGGGGGCACAGTGCCCGTGTTGTTCCAATTGGGGGGGGGGGGGTATTGAATTGAAAACGTTGGGGTTGATGAGCCAGTAAACATGCAGTCGGGCTTTCGCGACCAATGACATCCATAATGTGGGGGGTTCAGTTAGATCGCGTAAATGTGTCGTTAAACCCGCCACCACCCGACGCAGCCAATTAGTAAGGTTTGTCACGTAAACAAAACTTGTAAATTCGTCAGTACCGGTAGTTCAGCACACCGGTTGTGCTAGAGAGTAAACCCCCAACACCGGTGTTCGATTCCCGTTCTCGGCCAACACCAGTGACGATTATCTGAACCGGTCCCGGGCCTCCCCTAGGTCGACTCGGCTACAAATGAGTTTCTGGTACTGTGTGTAAACGTGTGTTGCACTAGTAACGAATTGGCATGTTTTGTTTACGTGACAGACCTTTACTAATTGGCTGTGTCGGGTGGTGGCGGGTTTGACGACATTGATATTCACGCCATCTAACCCCAAAACAACCTTATTGATGAACCTGCTTTCTACGTGTAGATGTGGACGCTGGGACTCGACGGTTCTCGCCGAGGTCCCGCATGTCTGGCAGTTCAGCATTTAGATGTGTCGCGCAACAATGGTTTGATCGTGTTTAGTTTTAACAGTTTGGTGGCGACGTCGTTCGTGCGAGTTGCATCTCTCACAATCGCAGAGGAGCCATGGGGAGCGGGAAGGCAGCAGCGACGTGGCGAGACAACGCTGCTGGCAATTACCCAAGTTCTGCAGTCCTCTACATATTATGGGGTTTTTTAAATCCAAATCATGAATGTTCGTTCGTTTCTCAGTCCGCTTGTCCTGGTGGGGGTCGTGGCGGCGGCAAGGTGATGAGTTGTGGCAGTCCACACCTCCCTCTCCCTGGTGACGGACTCCAGCATTACACTAATACTACGCTACACTATACACTACTATACACGCACCCACTCAGGCCAGCCGAGCGACATCGTCCCGCCAGCGTGTCCTGGGCTGGCCCCGGGGTTTCCTCCTCCTCCTACAGGTTCATACATTTAGGAGGAAACCGGAGTACCCGGAGAAATCCCACACGTGCGAGGGGGAACACTTTATCTATTCCATACCGACGGGACATCATACATCAGTCCGCACTTTGCTACGGTGATCCATCAACCCTCGACGCTGCCCCCCACAGTGCTGGATTTCGGGTAGCCACGTGCAGCGTAGCCAGCACCACGACCCCCGAGCGCCTGACTATTACACGGTGCGAATAAAAACCTAAATGTGTAGGATAAAAATTACTGGTGTGAGAGCGGAGTGCGGCATCTGGTGGGGGCAGGGGTTGGGTTCAGTGTGTATGGGGTGTACCACGTGTTTGAAGGGGGGGGTTCAGTGTGTATGGGGTGTACCACGTGTTTGAAGGGGGGGGGTTCAGTGTGTATGGGGTGTACCACGTGTTTGAAGGCGGGGGGGGGGGGGTTCAGTGTGTATGGGTTGCACCACGTGTTTGAAGGGGGGGGGGGGGTCAGTGTGTATGGGGTGCACCACGTGTTTGAAGGGGGGGGCTCAGTGTGTATGGGGTGTACCGCGTGTTTGAAGGCGGGGGGGGGGTTCAGTGTGTATGGGATGTACCACGTGTTTGAAGGGGGGGGGTTCAGTGTGTATGGGGTGCACCACGTGTTTGAAGGGGGGGGGGTCAGTGTGTATGGGGTGTACCGCGTGTTTGAAGGCGGGGGGGGGGGTTCAGTGTGTATGGGGTGTACCACGTGTTTGAAGGGGGGGTTCAGTGTGTATGGGGTGTACCACGTCAGTTTAACACGTAGGCTTTCGCGACCAATATTATTCATAAAGGTTTTTGGGTTAGATCGCGTTTATTTATAAATGTGTCGTAACCCTCCACCACCCGACACGGCCAATCAGCAAAAAAAGTGTCACGTTGACAAAAGACAAATAATTCACTCTTCAACACACCGGTGGGCTAAAGTAGTGAATTATTTGTCTTTTGTCAACATGACACTTTTTTTGCTGATTGGCCGTGTCGGGTGGTGGAGGGTTACGACACATTTATAAATAAACGCGATCTAACCCAAAAACCTTTATTATGAAGGTGCACCACGTGTTTGAAGGGGGGGGTTCAGTGTGTATGGGGTGTACCACGTGTTTGAAGGGGGGGGTTCAGTGTGTATGGGGTGTACCACGTGTTTGAAGGGGGGGGGGGGGTTCAGTGTGTATGGGGTGTACCACGTGTTTGAAGGGGGGGGGGGGTTCAGTGTGTATGGAGTGTACCACGTGTTTGAAGGGGGGGGAGGAGTTCAGTGTGTATGGGGTGTACCACGTGTTTGAAGGGGGGGGGGGGGTTCAGTGTGTATGGAGTGTACCACGTGTTTGAAGGGGGGGGGAGGAGTTCAGTGTGTATGGGGTGTACCACGTGTTTGAAGAGGGGGGGGGGTGTTCAGTGTGTATGGGGTGTACCACGTGTTTGAAGGGGGGGAGTTCAGTGTGTATGGGGTGTACCACGTGTTTGAAGGGGGGGGGGTCAGTGTGTATGGGGTGTACCACGTGTTTGAAGGGGGGGGGGGGGGTTCAGTGTGTATGGAGTGTACCACGTGTTTGAAGGGGGGGGGAGGAGTTCAGTGTGTATGGGGTGTACCACGTGTTTGAAGAGGGGGGGGGAGTTCAGTGTGTATGGGGTGTACCACGTGTTTGAAGGGGGGAGTTCAGTGTGTATGGGGTGTACCACGTGTTTGAAGGGGGGGGGGGGTCAGTGTGTATGGGGTGTACCACGTGTTTGAAGGGGGGGGGGGTCAGTGTGTATGGGGTGTACCACGTGTTTGAAGGGGGGGGAGGAGTTCAGTGTGTATGGGGTGTACCACGTGTTTGAAGGGGGGGGGGGTTCAGTGTGTATGGAGTGTACCACGTGTTTGAAGGGGGGGGGAGGAGTTCAGTGTGTATGGGGTGTACCACGTGTTTGAAGAGGGGGGGGGGGAGTTCAGTGTGTATGGGGTGTACCACGTGTTTGAAGGGGGGGAGTTCAGTGTGTATGGGGTGTACCACGTGTTTGAAGGGGGGGGGGTCAGTGTGTATGGGGTGTACCACGTGTTTGAAGGGGGGGGGGGGTTCAGTGTGTATGGGGTGGGTGAACTGGCGGAGAATGGCGGCATGTTCTGTGTTTTTCCAGGTGATGACGGAATGGGTGAGTAACGTCCCTACGGGGTGTATATATGCTGTGGGCACCCACGATCAATGCGAGTGAGTGCACGTACCTCTGGGGGGAGTCGACGGAGACGTCGCGGGAAGCGGGCCCTGCTCGGCGGGGGGGTCCCGTCGCTGGAAGAGAGAGGGGACCTGCCGGCCCAGGGGAGTTCAGAGGGCCCGAGGACACGTGACGCTGGCTCCGGCTCCGTCTCGAGAGACCGAGCAGGTGGCGTGGCCGGGGGCGGAGTGAGGCCCGGGGGAGGAGGAGAGGGACGGGGGTGGCGCGGGAGAATCGGCTGGAGGGGACTGAGTTATCAGGGGACCCCTTTTAAGGGGTCTGGTGAAATCCCCCAAGTGTTATCCCTAGAAGTTATAATAAATCGTGGTGCCTCCAGATCTCTGTGCGCGCCTCGTCAGATACACACTGCAATAGTAAGCGGAGGAACCGCGTGCCGCTCGTGTTAATTCGTCGTGTTCGGCGTTTCGTGAACTATAATCACCCAGAAATGTCTGTCCGTCCCGCGCGTGACGTCACTCCACATGAAGCCCACCCCCGTGTGACGTCACTCCACATGAAGCCCACCCCCCGTGTGACGTCACTCCACATGAGGCCCACCCCCCCTCATTAATATTCATGAGTGGGTGGATTTTTACACGAACGCTGAGGACGGTCGAGCTGAATTAAATCATTTAGTACGCAAAGTCGCTTCAAATATGACGTTTCTTTACAGAAAGTTACGGTAAATAAACTCCTTAAACGTTGCTTGTAAACAACGGTGTTATTCACAACTGGCGCGCCTGAGCCGCGTGGCGCCTGCTCCTTGGGCGAGGCGATTCGAGAGTTTAGGGACCGCGGCGTTTTCCACCTTCACAAATATATAAATAATGAGGCGTCCATACAAAATGTTAATTGGCTTTAAAGTAGCGATTTAATTGATGCCGACCCAGGCATGCATTGTCACCGGATCTGAGCACGTGTGCACAATTTGGAATTGATTGGACAACAGGAAGTAGACTAAATTTTGATTACAAGATTTGACCACGACACAGGAGTCAAGTTAAGTAAAACCGCCACTTTTTTCAAATTTTCTTGCTGTGGTTTTCACACCTGATGATGATTGCTTGTGTTGCAGTCGAAACGTCGTGATAATTTTATAGTTTTTTATATTTTTATTATTTTATTGTTTCCCTTCTACGTGGTGACTTTATCGAAAGAACCAAGAATATGAATCCCTGCAGTCACGAAAGCTTCAAATCAAGATTTAAGTAAAACCGTAATAATAGGGGTTTTCCCCTTTTTTCTGGCAACAAAACTGAAACCTTTTTACAAGGATTCATGTCTGCATTAACCACAATACCTGCAGTCAAAATGCAAACAAAAAACATACTATGATAATATATGATGCATTGTCCTTGAAGCTGATTGGTCCACACCAAGAGACGGCTTTCTCTTGAGCCTCGACCCAATTGGTGCTCGACCAGATGACGACAAAACGGCGTACTCATGAGGAAAAGCCCTATTATTACATGTTGGTACTGGCAAAGGAGGTCTAATGATGATGATTAAGTAAAACCGTTGAAGAATAAATCTACACAGCACAGTGCTACGTCTGTGCGTGACGTCACTACAAAAGAGCCCCCCCCCCCTTCATTAATATTCATGTCCGCGTGGAAGTTTACACGAACGCACAAGGTCGCGAACTCCACACGCCGCACCCCTCCCCTCATGAATAATCATGAGCGGGTGACGTCACTCCACAATCCGCACCCCTCCTCAATAACCATCAGGGGGTGACGTCACTCCACAATCCGCCCCCCCTCAATAACCATTAGCGGGTGACGTCACTCCACATGCGGCAACACCCCCCTCCCCCCTCATTAATAATCATGAGCTGAACAATTTGTCTATTGAATATTTAAGATTTACTGCAACATACACCCGTCCTTGGACGGCCAAAAAAGCTAGTCGCAAACAACTAAACATCGTGTGCCAAATTGAGCCCTTCGCCCAAGCGTGGCAAATCGTCGTCGTCAGCTCCGAGGCTGCAGCGCGTTGCTCCGGCTGGTGCTCGGTGACGAGCATCGCCTTGGGGTCGCTTGGGAGGCGGCTCGCAAGTCGTTTTGTGACGTCCACTTACTGCTGCTGCTGCCGCCAGCCATTCTCGACCACCAGAGCTGGGGAAACCTGCACTTTGTCGCCCCGCGAAAGCGACGCCAATTGACACAAGCGGAATAAATCTTTGAATGAAGATTCCAACAACCACACAAGGGTATGAATCCACACGCAGACTTGCTTGGTTTATTTCCCAGGCCTCCTCGCCCTGACACCGCTGCGTGTGCGTGGGGAGCGGTTGTGTCGTGGTTAGCGCGCTGCGCTACGAACCCGGCGACCCGAGTTAGATTCCCGCTCAAGGCTATACACATTGACGATTTTCTGAACCGGGTCCGGGGCCTTCCATAGGTCCACTCAGCCTCGAATGAGTACTCTGCGCGGTGTGTAAATATCGCCAATGGGGAGACAAAGGCGGTCGGGCGTGGTGATGGCCACCGCACCCCTCCCGTGCCGTGCCGGCCTCCGTAGATCGGTGCTCGCTCCTAGCGCTTGCCTCAAACGCGAGAGGGGTGCGTGTGGGCGGAGCCTGCTGGGGGAGAGGGGGCGGGGCCAAGCCCCAGGCGAGGTGCGTGTGGGCGGAGCCTGCTGGGGGGAGAGGGGGGCGGGGCCAAGCTCCAGGTGAGGCGCGTGCGTGTGGGCGGAGCCTGCTGGGGGGAGAGGGGGCGGGGCAAAGCTCCAGGCGAGGTGCGTGCGTGTGGGCGGAGCCTGCTGGGGGGAGAGGGGGGCGGGGCCAAGCCCCAGGCGAGGTGCGTGCGTGTGGGCGGCGCCTGCTGCGGGGAGAGGGGGGCGGGGCCAAGCTCCAGGTGAGGCGCGTGCGTGTGGGCGGAGCCTGCTGGGGGGAGAGGGGGGCGGGGCCAAGCTCCCAGGCGAGGTGCGTGTGGGCGGAGCCTGCTGGGGGAGAGGGGGCGGGGCCAAGCTCCAGGCGAGGTGCGTGTGGGCGGAGCCTGCTGGGGGGAGAGGGGGGCGGGGCCAAGTCCCAGGCGAGGTGCTTGTGGGCGGAGCCTGCTGGGGGGAGAGGGGGGCGGGGCCCAAGCTCCAGGTGAAGGCGCACCTGTCTCTGGAGCTGATTGCTAGGAGCGAGCGAACAGCTGAGAGCGGCGTCGTCAGAACGCCACCGGGACTCGACAGCGCGCAGAGCATCGAACGCGAGGCAAGCGGAACGACGAGCAGAGACCATGGGCGTGAACGTGCACGTGGAGTACTGGTGAGGTGGCGCACACCTGGGGCAAACACACACCTGGGTCAAACGCCTCGGTCAAACACACCTGGGTAAAACACACCTGGGTGAAACACACCTGAGTCAACGACACACCTGGGTCAAACACACCTGTGGCAAAAACACACCTGTGGCAAAAACACACCTGGGGTAAAAACCCCCCTTGGTCAAACACACCTGGGTGAAACACACATCTGGGGCAAAAACACACCTTGATCAACCACACACCTGGGTGAAACGCCCCGGTGAAACACATCTGGGTAAAACACACCTGGGTGAAACGCCCCGGTGAAACACATCTGGGTAAAACACACCTGGGTGAAACACACCTGAGTCAACGACACACCTGGGTCAAACACACCTGTGGCAAAAACACACCTGGGGTAAAAACCCCCCTTGGTCAAACACACCTGGGTGAAACACACATCTGGGGCAAAAACACACCTTGATCAACCACACACCTGGGTGAAACGCCCCGGTGAAACACATCTGGGGCAAAAACACACCTTGATCAAAAACACACCTGGGTCAACCACACACCTGTGGCAAAAACACCCCTCGCTTGACGCCTAACCTCACACACACCTGTGGACTACACCCGGATTCACACAGACAAACCTCAATATCGTCAGATTGCACACTTTTCACCGAGGCTGTTGTTATCGTGTTGCATGTTCTATATGTATGTTGAACTTATTCTTAGTTTTTTCGGTAAAGTCACGTTGAATGGAAACAACAAAATAATAATATATATAACAATAAAAAATTCTCACGACGTTTCGACCATAACTCAAACGGTCATCTTCAGGTGTGTTGGTTTGCATAAATTTATTTTTAAACGGCGCATTTATTTATTTATCTGAAACCGGATTCCCACCACCATCCATCACAGAAGAATTCTCTCATCAAGACTCTGTATCATAGAGCCCAATGCATATCCGACCAGGAACAAATAAGCAGTGAACTCAAACACGTACACCAAGCTCTTAGGGCTAATGGTTACTCCGACTATACAATCCGCAAAGCTATCACTCAAACCATGAAGAAGAACCCTCTTGAGGAGCCTTTCAAAACCATCACTTTACCCTACATTGCGGGGATCACAAAAAAGATCTCCAAAATCTTGAATAAACACAAGATCCAGGTCCGTTTCAACACATTACATAAAATCCGTGATCTGGTTCCGTCTGTAAAAGATGTGATTCCGGACATACAATACCCTGGTGTCTACAAACTAAGTTGCCTCTGTGGTAGTAGTTACATTGGAGAAACCAAACGCCATGTCTCGGACCGCATTCGTGAACACAAAGCAGACCTTAAACACGGTAGGACCAACACCTCGGCCGTGGCAGATCATTGTTCTAATTCAGTAGGCTCACATGCCATTGACTTTTCCAAGACAGAGGTTCTTTGTAAGCCATCTGGCTTCCATGAGAGATTCGTTCATGAGGCTATCCACATATACAAGCACAGAGACAATTTCCACCGAGAAGATGGATTCTATCTTAGCAATCATTGGAAAGATTTGATAAACCATTTCAGGTCTTAAATGATTGTTCACGCTTACAGTGGCTTTCAGACAGCATACATTATATATATAAAAACAAAAATTTCGTCTCCCCCCTCCTCTTTTCAGAATATAGATGGACTAGTCCTAAATAAACTGCCAAATCGTTGCGCGTGGCGCTAACGTTTTTTATTATAAATAAATAAATGCACCGTTTAAAAATAAATTTATGCAAACCAACACACCTGAAGATGACCGTTTGAGTTATGGTCGAAACGTCGTGAGAATTTTTTAATTGTTTTATATATTTTACTATTTTGTTGTTTCCCTTCAACGTGACTTTACCGAAAAAACTAAGAATATGAATTACTGCAGTCACGAAAGCTTTAAATCAAAATTTATGTTGAACTTCTTTCGCGCCGTACGTAGCCAACCATGCTTGTGGAAGGTGCGGGGGGGGGGGGACAACACGTGTTGCCACCGTCGGCCAATCATGTTGATGCGTCTTGACCCAAGTAGGGGGCGATGCTGCTGCTGGGCGACCCCAACTGAGTAACTTGCAGGTGATTTTTCATCATTGCGATGTTTTTGGCCAATAGCCCTGACATAGTGTGCGTGTGTTTTATATCTACGGGAGCAAACTGGCGAACCCGGAAGAAACCCGTGCAGAACAGGGTTGGAGAGAACATACAGAACCTCCATTCACTCACTCTGTGCAGAACAGGGGCAGAACATACAGAACCTCCATTCACTCACTCTCTGCAGAACAGGGGCAGAACATACAGAACCTCCATTCACTCACTCTGTGCAGAACAGGGGCAGAACATACAGAACCTCCATTCACTCACTCTCTGCAGAACAGGGGCAGAACATACAGACCCTCCATTCACTCACTCTGCAGAACAGGGGCAGAACACACAGAACCTCCATTCACTCACTCTCTGCAGAACAGGGGGAGAACATACAGACCCTCCATTAACTCACTCTCTGCAGAACAGGGGCAGAACATACAGACCCTCCATTCACTCACTCTCTGCAGAACAGGGGCAGAACATACAGAACCTCCATTCACTCACTCTCTGCAGAACAGGGGCAGAACATACAGAACCTCCATTCACTCACTCTCTGCAGAACAGGGGCAGAACATACAGAACCTCCATTCACTCACTCTCTGCAAAAAAGGGGCAGAATATTGAGACGCCACGCAGCAAGGCGCCCGAGTCGGGAATCGAACCCGGGAGCTTCTTTGATGTCGATGCAGGGCAAGGGCCGCAATTTTACGTGCGGGTGGCCTCAAGCCCAGATCGCCGCGCCAGGAGCAGAGGAGTGGTGGGTGCCGTCGTTGCGATGTCTCCGTCGTGTTTGTGGATAGGGGCATTGCGTCGTTTGCACATCGGCGCGGTCCGTCGTGGGTGAGCACGGCCGCACCACGAACCTCTGGAGGGTTCGCTAATGTCCTCTTTGTGCTGTCACCCCCCGCGCCCACTGCCGTGGCTTTGTGCAGTGGACGCGGTTTCGGGTGGACCACGAACAACTTCGTGGAAGAATCAAACCCTAGGGGGGATCTTTTTGCGTCGGGTCGCGTAGCGAACAACAACAGAGGCGTCGTCGTCGCTTGGCAAACACAGTGGCCGCAACCCCGCCCAAGGGGCCACGTGGGGTAGTGTCCGTGACTCTGCACATTTCCCTCGCCCGACATCTCTGCGTGTTGTTTACCTGTACAGTACAGGTGTGGACATTGCGCGTACAGGTGTGGACATTGCGCAAACAGGTGCGCGCGCGTGCGTCTTCGTCCCCTGTTGCTGCAGTGCGGTGCACAAACAACGCATCACGACGTTTTGCTGCGCTGCGCTACGAACCTGGCCATCACCAAATTCACGGTCTGGGCCTTTCCCTCGGTCGACTCGGCCTCAAATGAGTACCTGGCGGCCGGGCGTGATGCTGGCCACCCACCCCTTCGTGTGCCACAGGGCCGGCCTTAATAGGTGCTCGCTAACACAGCACTTAAGGTTACACGGGAGGGCGAGGTGCGCTCCGTCGTCGATGCTGTAGCACAGCATTTGCCCCCAGCAGACTGTGGGCTATACGGGGCACCGCTGTCTTTGTGTTGCCTGCACAGTGGCCGCTGAGGCTACGAGGGCCGCTTCGTGGCTCTCAAGGCGAAGGTGAACGCCGAGATCCCGGAGGCCCAAATCATGGGGGGCACAGGGAGGAAAGGTGAGTGTCGTCACGTGGTTTTATGGACCCACCTGGGCTCACCTGGACCCAACCGGACCCTCCCTAACCTGGACCCAACCAAAACATGGGGCAGTTAAATGCCCTAAGCAACTCACAGGGGGGGTTGTCTTACGCCACATCACACCACGGGCCAATTGCATCACATTACGGGCGGTGACTCGGCCCAGCGGTTGTTGTGCAGGTTCGCGGTTCGAAACCCTGAAGGCCACCCCGGTCAATACTGCGGTAATAACCATTGAATGCTTTGCACCGCCTACCGTTTGTGGCCATTGTGTTGCCGGCGGTCACGGTCCAATTTGTTAAGATCAAATTAATTCATGAAACACATTGAACGTCGTTATAATCTCGGCTATTCCCTAGAGGGACCACCCAGTGCCAGCTGCCCCTGCGTGGCACGGGGTGGCCGCAGCCGCCGGCTCGCATAGAGGCCGAGCTCACGTGGCCGCCTTCACTGCCCAACTTCAGCTAGAATCGTTCTTCCCTCCCGCTCCTTCTACCTGTACACACACGAGCTCACCTGTGCACCCACTCATTCTGTACACGTACTCACCACGTGCTCCTCACCTGTACATGCAATCGACCTGTGCACGTGCCACCTGCAGGTAGCTTCGAGGTGATGGTGAACGACGTCATCATCTTCTCCAAGCTGGAGCTGGGAGGCTTCCCTGAGATGGACGACGTGAGGCCGCATCACGGGCACCGTCGCTTCCCCCCCTCCTCCCCCCGCCCCTCCCCTCTCCCCTCCTCCTCCCTCACCCCAAATCTCCTCTCGTGCTCCCATGCACGTCCACCTCGGTCGACTCGCCGTCGTCGTTCTCGTCATTGTATTCCCGCGCCTTTTATTTCATTTGTTTGTTATATCCCGAATTGTATCGACGGCTGCGCTACTGGCGACCTCGTGGGCTTAGTTTAACACGTAGGCTTAGTTTAGTTTAACACGTAGGCTTAGTTTAGTTTAACACGTGGGCTTAGTTTAGTTTAACACGTAGGCTTAGTTTAGTTTAACACGTAGGCTTAGTTTAGTTTAACACGTGGGCTTAGTTTAGTTTAACACGTAGGCTTAGTTTAGTTTAACACGTGGGCTTAGTTTAGTTTAACACGTAGGCTTAGTTTAGTTTAACACGTAGGCTTAGTTTAGTTTAACACGTGGGCTTAGTTGCCACCCGCCCCTGGCTTTTTTTTTCCACTCCCCCCAGCAGCGTCTCCCTCCCTTCCTCCTCGAGCTAACAAAACGACGACAGGGGTGGTGGTGGTGGTGGTGGAACTAAAATATCTGAAGCATTAAAAAAGTCCCTCCCCTCTGTGCTTTTGTCAGCTGCGTAATCACGACAATTTAATTCATCTCGTGACATAATTTGGCAGAATTGCCGGTCGAGGGCAAGGTTATTTTTCTCTCTCCTGTTACGCGACAAATCTTTCCACAGTGGGAGGAATTTTTTTTAAGCGGGCCCGCCAAGGGAGAATGACGCCAGAAGGAAATCCCCTCAAAAGTAGTTCTGTGGCAACTGCTTCCACGGACCGTTGTAGTCTTAACAAAGACAAAGAACCCCGTGTAGCCTTGGCAGACTCTAGGGGCAAGTGCTGTTAGCCAGCACCTATGAAGGCCGGAACGGTACACGAGGGGGTGGGTGGCCAGCACCACGCCCCACCGCCTTTGTCTCCCTAGTGGCGATGTTCACACACCGCACCAGGTACTCATTTGAGGCTGAGTCGACCTAGGGGAGGCCCGGGACCGGTTCAGATAATCGTCGCTGGTGTTGGCCGTGAGCGGGAATCGAACCCGGGTCGCCAGGTTCATAGCGCAGCGTAGCGCTAACCGCTGCACCACCGCTCCTCCGCCCAAGACGGTGACTGCGCAAACCCCCGGGCAGGGCTGGCAACCCGAAGGTATCGGCTGGCGACGATGCCGATAGCGCAACCGCCAACAACAACAAATCGGAGAAAATAGAAATGAATACAAATCAAGTTCCAGCAACAACCGCGGCGAGTCTGCCTAGAGTGGCCACTGCGCACGGGAGGGCGCCGCGAGGCTCGAGGCGAGGCAGGAGGAGGGGAGGAAGCGGTGATGGAGTTGCCGGTGATGGAGTTGCCGCTTACAGCGATGGAGTTGCCGCTTACAGCGATGCAGTCGACTGATGGTGGTGATGTTGCTGAGTGCGCTGTCGCTACTAGGTAATGGTAACGACGTTGTCGCTACTAGGTAATGGTAACGACGCTGCCGCTACTATGTAATGGTAACGACACTGCCGCTACTAGGTAATGGTAACGACGTTGTCGCTACTATGTAATGGTAACGACACTGCCGCTACTAGGTAATGGTAACGACGTTGTCGCTACTAGGTAATGGTAACGACACTGCCGCTACTAGGTAATGGTAACGACGTTGTCGCTACTAGGTAATGGTAACGACGTTGTCGCTACTAGGTAATGGTAACGACGTTGCCGCTACTAGGTAATGGTAACGACACTGCCGCTACTAGGTAATGGTAACGACCCTGTCGCTACTAGGTAATGGTAACGACGTTGCCGCTACTAGGTAATGGTAACGACACTGCCGCTACTAGGTAATGGTAACGACACTGCCGCTACTAGGTAATGGTAACGACACTGCCGCTACTAGGTAATGGTAACGACCCTGCCGCTACTAGGTAATGGTAACGACACTGCCGCTACTAGGTAATGGTAACGACGTTGTCGCTACTAGGTAATGGTAACGACGTTGTCGCTACTAGGTAATGGTAACGACGTTGCCGCTACTAGGTAATGGTAACGACCCTGTCGCTACTAGGTAATGGTAACGACGTTGTCGCTACTAGGTAATGGTAACGACGTTGTCGCTACTAGGTAATGGTAACGACGTTGTCGCTACTAGGTAATGGTAACGACGTTGCCGCTACTAGGTAATGGTAACGACACTGCCGCTACTAGGTAATGGTAACGACGTTGTCGCTACTAGGTAATGGTAACGACGCTGTCGCTACTAGGTAATGGTAACGACACTGCCGCTACTAGGTAATGGTAACGACGTTGTCGCTACTAGGTAATGGTAACGACGTTGCCGCTACTAGGTAATGGTAACGACGTTGTCGCTACTAGGTAATGGTAACGACGTTGTCGCTACTATGCAATGGTAACGACGCTGTCGCTACTAGGTCATGGTAACGACACTGCCACTACTAGGTAATGGTAACGACCCTGCCGCTACTATGTAATGGTAACGACGCTGCCGCTGTTCCTGTTGCTGGCGGTGCAGGTGTTGGCGGCGATCCGCGGCGCTGTCGAGGGAAGGCCCCTGCAGAAGATCACCAAGTGCCGTCAGAGCTGCTGCCTCCAGTAGACGCCGATCCTCGATCCCCCCCCACCGCCTCGCCTGCTCGGTGATGGCCCAGCAGAAACGGCTCTGCCGATACCTGGGCACTGATGGACGGCACGGGGAGCACGGGGGGGGGGGGTGTCGGCCCTGGCTGCTGTGTGCGGCACCGCGGTGGGAGGAGGGTCGCCTGGGTGGGTGGGCGGGGTGGGGGTCGCGCTTTGTCGTATAGCTGCTCGCAGTTACACTCACGAGGCCGGTCTACGTTCTCTATAATTATTATTATTGTCATTTAGAGTCATGTAGAGCTTGCAACGCACAGCTTTTGGTGAGAGAGAGATATCGAGAATGATTCGGAGGGCGCGGCCAGGATTCGCGCTAAACGAAATTGCCCAAGCCCTGCGGTCCTACATTTGGATGTTTGGCCAACCAATTCATATGGCGCGTATGAAGGTAATTATCTCAAAAGTTTATGGAAAATCTGGGTTATGTACGGACCAATGTGGTGGATTGACGGGTAAACACAGAAGCGATGACGCCTCCGTGGGAGCTCGGATGGTCAAGTCAGTTCGTCCGAGTTGGTCCGAACCATTTCTCCCTCATATCAAGAAAGGTGGCCAAGCTGTCACGATCTGAATCGCGGTTCCAACTAGTTGACATGATGCTCATGTAAACATGCCACTTTGTGATTACGCAAATGTTTACAGACACGTGATTTGCCGCGTAATGTTGTGTGCCGTACACCCTCCTCCACCCGACACAGCCAAACCAATAAAGTTGTCACGTGGTGAATAAACATGGACAATTAATACTCGTTTCAGTAGCAACACCATCGATTGTGCTGGAAAGCGATGCACACAACAATACACTGAACAAGTGGGCACGTGACTACTTCCTTTATTTGGCTGCGTCGGGTGGAGGAGGGTGCATCACACAACACTGGCATTTCACCTGCGTGACCTTGACCCAACAGTGACTTGTGACTCACGACACTGCGCTGGCCGCGATAGCCGACGCCTGTTAAACACCAGCCACGTCTTCCACGTGGCCGAGTGGCGCGGCTGAAATCGTGGGACTGCTTACCCCGGACGGTGATGTCGAGGATGGAGCGATGACGCCCAGATCCGGCGATCGATATTGACTCATCCGCGCATGGACCAATCGGTGATGCTCCTCGAGTCGGTCGGGGCTGTGCGTAGCGGGTTCCTGCGAGCTTTGTGGCCAACACCGGAGGCACCAACCACTCACCGCCTCTGTTGGAACGTAACTGCAGCGTAACCGGTCGCGACTCGTGGATCGAATCCCGACTCGGAATTGTTTCAGCGTTCCATCCTGGTTACACATCGTTTGGTGATGCTGCTGTTGTTGTTTGTTGTTAATTGCACAATTCGTCAGTAACACTGTGTGGCCTCAAAATACAAACGTGAATAATAGGCGACGTTTCAGGCAATGGACCTGCATTGCAACATAAATCGAAACTGTTGTTACATCCGCACTGCGACTCCGCGATTTCCTCTCTCCTCTCACCTCTAAATATCCGCATGGCAAATTGTTCTCATTTTATATTGGGTTGAATATAATTGTGGTTAAGTTGTATCATTTGAGTTGGTATAATAATAATAATAACAACAATAAAGCAAACTTCAGCAGAATTCCGGATTGAACTAAATTTGATCAAATAACGACGCCGACTCCATGGATCTATGAAGGCACATGTCCATGCATCAACACACATTGAGCCAGCCCACGTGAAATGTGCAATTGCTGGTCCAACGTTGGACCAACACTGTCATGTGATTGGTTGCTACGTTTGGGACCAGCGTCCCATATTTACCGGGTTGGCCTCAACAAGAACGCAGGCCGCATTTATCAACGTTGCACTGTCGTCATCTGCAACCTTGTGTCCGCGAAACCGCGTGGATCAATAAAGGGATCCGGATGAACCGGTGTAAGTCGCCCGTGTGGTTCTGGTACACGCCCAGTGAACGCATCGATCGACGTTGCCTCAGCGCTGGCGTGGTTACATCACTTGGGCCATCAAGTCCCGGCTGTGACATTTCAGATCCAACATTTTGATGAAACCAAAACCAGCAAGTGTCGTCACTATCTTCGCCATCAGTGTGACGCTTTTCTCGCCAAAAGTCGGTGTCACTGTCGTTAGCACAAACGCCATTGTGTAATGTGCACATCATCACCCCTTGTATACGTGGCACACCACAACCTCACACACACGCAGCTATGGACTACACCCGCATTCACACAAACCTCAACATCGTCAGATTGCACACTTTTGACCCTGGCTGTTGTTATCATGTTGCATGTTATATATGTATGTTGAACTTCTTTCGCGGCGTACGTAGCCAACCGTGCTTGTGGAAGGTGCGGGGGGTGAGAAGGACAATACGTGTTGCCACCGTCGACCAATTATGATGATGAGTATAGAGTAGTATGATGATGATGCTTCTTAACTTAAGTAGGGGGCGATGCTGCTGCTGCTGCTGCGTGATGCCCAGTTGAGTAACTTGCAGGTGATGTTTTCATCATTGCGATACCACTTACAAACTAAACACTTGGCCAATTTGGGCGGAGAGACGACAAAGGTTAGTACGTCGAATTTTTTTCAAGCGAAAAAAATATTTGTTGAATTCCTCAGCTTGTATTTTATGTATAGCACAGGAAGACTCGATGTTTTTCGCACGCATTTTTTTTGTTGGTTAACTCTCTCAGTTTTTTATAATGTTATGTATAAAGCGTTATATATAATGTTATATATACTGTTTTATATAATATAGCATAGTACCACTAAAGACAACGGTGGAATTCACTTCTCATTGAAAAATTACACTTTTAATATTTGCCCACGGGCAGAGGGAACCCGCGCACCCCCTCGCTCTCACGGCTCGTGGAAGCGACGGGGGGGGGGGCTACCTCGCCGAGTTGACCTTGGGGAACGTTCATGACCTTGGGGAACGTTCACGACCTTGGGGAACGTTCACGACCTTGGAGAACGTTCGCGAGAGGTTCTCACACGCGACCACTCCTCCGCCCTTGTGTGCATCTGTGACCGGGAGTCGAACCCACGCGTCTGGGATCGTCGTCTCACCGAGAGAGACAAAGACGGAGATCCCCGTAGAGCCTGAACAAGGTGCACTTAGCGAGGAGCGGTACGCGAGGGGGTGGGTGGCCAACACCACGCCCGGCCGCCTTTGTCTCCCTAGTGGCGATGTTTACACACCGCACCAGGTACTCATTTGAGGCTGAGTCGACATCGGGGAGGCCCAGGACCGGTTTGGATAATCGTCACCGGTGTTGGCCGTGAGCGGGAATCGAACCCGGGTCGTCAGGTTCGTAGCGCAGTGTAGCGCTAACCACCACACTACCGCTCCTCCCCACCACCACCGAGAGAGAGAGAGAAACTTTTGTTTTGTTGAAGACCACGTGCACACTGCGAACGTCGGCTGACGTCATCACGGCCCACGACCCCCCCCCCTCCCCATTGTTCTATGACCCCCCCCTCTCTCCCTACTGGTACCTGTCGGCTGCCTCCAGCATTGGCCGCTATTTGAGAGACCGCGACTCGACGGGGAGACGCGGCGAGAGAGGCCGCCCTGACTTTAAAATGACTTTCAAGGTCCCCCTCCACCCCCCGCATCTCCTCACTGGTGGGGAGGGGGTGGCGTCTGTGATTGGCTACTGGGGACGGCAAAGGTGAGCGAGTGGCACCCAGGTGGCTTGGCTGTGTCTCGGCTGAGGTGTCTCATTAAGAGGCGTTGGTCTCAGGTGAGCTGTCTCGGGTGAGTTTGGTGTCTCGGGTGAGTTGCTCACCAGTTTCGGCTGACCAGGAGGGGCAGGTGAAGGTGTCACCATGAGGGTGAAGGTGCACGTGGAGTATTGGTGAGTGTACACGAGCACTCACCTGCACGGGCACTACGCACATACTGTACCACGTGCGCGCTCACCTGGCCATTCACATGGTCACTCATCCGATCATTGACCTCGCAGTTCACCTGGTTACTTATCCGTTCACCTGGTTAATGACCTGTCTATTTACTTAGCCACTCACATGCTCATTTAGACGGTCACTCACCTAGCCACGAATCTAGTCACTCTCCGGTCCCATCACCAAGTCACTCACCTAGTCACTTGCCTAGTCACCTGGCTACTCACCTGAGTACCCCCCCCCCCCCCGCCGCTGACCTTCCCTGTGCACAGCGGGGGATGAGGTAACGGCCACCAGAGCCGCTTCTGGGGGCTCGAGTCCCGGGTCCAAGCGGAGCTCCCGGGGGTGGAGATCATCGGAGTTACGGGGAGGAAAAGTAAGCGGGGAAAACAGGGCATTGGACTCTCCTGCACTCACCTGTACTCGCCTATACGCACCTGTACCTACCCTGGCCCGATCCAGACTCACAGACTCACAAGAAACCCGAGACCAGGACAGAATTTGTATCCACCTGGGCCCACCGGGTCCCAATGTGGAACCAACCCAAAACATGACCACACTTACTTAGGGACACTCGCAGAGACACCTGGACCCACCTGGACTGTGCAGGACTCGGTAATAACACAGCAGACTCACAAAGATTACAACGCCCCCAACCACATACACACACCTGTGCCCCTCACCTGTACACCCCTCACCTGTATAGCTCACCTGTACACCCCTCACCTGGTTGCCCCTCCCCTGTAAGCTCCTCACCTGTTTACCCCTCACCCGAACCGCAACTGTGCCCCTCATCTACGCCCCTCACCTGTACCCCCTCACCTGTACACCCCTCACCTGTATACTCACCTGTACCCCCTCACCTGTATACTCACCTGTACACCCCTCACCTGTATGCCCCTCACCTGTACACTCACCTGTAAACCCCTCACCTGTACGCCCCTCACCTGTACACTCACCTGTACACCCCTCACCTGTACGTCCCTCACCTGTACGCCCCTCACCTGTACGCCCCTCACCTGTACACCCCTCACCTGTACGCCCCTCACCTGTACACCCCTCACTTGTACACCCCTCACCTGTACACCCCTCACCTGTACGCCCCTCACCTGTACATGTCTCACCTATACACCCCTCACCTGTACATGTCTCACCTGTACACCCCTCACCTGTACAACCATCAACTGTACACCCATCACTTTTACATACCTCACCTGTACACCCCTCACCTGTACACCCCTCACCTGTACATGTCTCACCTGTACACCCTTCACCTGTACAACCATCAACTGTACACCCATCACTTTTACATACCTCACCTGTACACCCCTCACCTGCAGATAGCTTCGAGGTGAAGGTGAACGGCAAGCTGATCTACTCCAAGCTGGAGCTGGGAGGACTACCCGAGCTGGACGACGTGAGTTCGCTCCCCGGCACTGACACAACCCTCACCACACCGCCACTGCTGCTGCTGAACTTACCCCTCACTCGCCATGGGTGATGGTTACACGCGTGGCTGCCTGTAACCCAGCACTGTGGAGGCAGCAGCAGCAGCACCAGCGAGGGTTGGTGGGTCACACACAGATGTTGGGGATCTCCCTTCCCCCGTGGGCGTCGATGAGTAGCCGTACCCTGGCTAACCAGGAGATGGCGGTACGGCAAACGATAACTCCACCTGTACACGTCTGTACGGGGATAGCGTGTTGCCCTCTCGCATGCGTGGGTATCTGTGGGTGCTCCGGGTCCCTGCCACGTGCAGACACCTCGTGAATTCGGCCGATAACGCCTTCACGCGCAGAGGACCGCAGAGCTTGGAGGATTGGAAATTGGCGTTTGCTCAACAAATAACAATCATGCATTATAATAACTAATGATAAGCAAGCACCGGCAAACACATTTTTTTTGAAAATTTTTTTTTTCGAAATAAATGAGAGTTATTAAACATGATCATTATTAATGATTCATTATTATAATTTAATCGACAAACACTTTGAACGCCCCTCCACCCCCGCTAAGCAATAACGCTGCTCACCTGCCTGCAAACGGTGAGCACCGCTCTCGTGACGCTTGCAAGCAGCGCGGAGCCACGAGCCTCACGGGACGGCAGTGGAGAGGCCCCCCCCCCCCCAGGCCTGGTGGTGGGGGGGGGTCACGGCGTCAGCCGCGAGGTGGCAGAGCAGACACGCGGTGGGCTGCTTGCTGCAAGTCCTCTGGTGGAGGCCAAGCAGTCTCAAAGACATTCATTAATCAGAGCATGCTCGTTCGCATGCTCACCACAAAGTAGCGCGTGTGGCGAATGCAGTACTTGATGCCTTGCAAGAAGGTTTCTATTTGATGTTTGAGCATCTTAACACCACTGTCGGATTGCCAGAAAGGGTTAAACCGATTATTATTCTTTAAACAAAAAGTTACGATGAACACGTAGGGATTTTGTTGGCCTGATGATGCTCGTTGTGATTACTGGCGAAACGTCGTACTCTAATTTGTCAATGTCGCAGTGGGTTTACGCTCTCACACGCGACCGGTGGCGCTGTGCTAGTGTTGTGTTGCCGACACAACTTTTCTAATTGTCGGTGTCGAGCGGTGGCGGGTTTAACGACACATTTACGCGATCTAACCCCCCTTAAGACCAATGTCATGGACTACACACAAATACACTGGGTATATTGATGACATAGGTGTTACACAGAGAGAGAGAGGAGGAGGAGTACTTCAAGCGCCACGGAAAGGATTGAAAGACGAAGTGAAACTCCACACACAAACTCCATCGGGCGACCTGCGGCTCTTTCAGGAACTGCATGGCAAGACAGTCTCTCTCTCTGTTTAACACGTAGGCTCTCTCTCTCTCTCTCCATTCAGGAGCACCACCGCCTGCCTCCTTATTGGCCACGTGCACTTTTGTTTAAATTTTAAAGCCAATTCGAAAGAAAAACACAAATGCCTCTTCTTGTCACTTATTTATGGGGTTGGCGACCGCTGCACCTGAAGGGTTGTAGCCGTGGTCGTGACGACGTCTACAGAGAGAACAGCCACACGCAGCACAGATGGAAGTGGGAGCGATTCAGAGTGCGGGGGGGTCCACACGTGGTTTAGGGGGGTCCACACGTGGTTTAGGGGGGGTTCACACGTGGTTTAGGGGGGGTCCACACGTGGTTTAGGGGGGGTGTCCACACGTGGTTTAGGGGGGGTCCACACGTGGTTTAGGGGGGGTCCACACGTGGTTTAGGGGGGGTGTCCACACGTGGTTTAGGGGGGGGTCCACACGTGGTTTAGGGGGGGGGTCCACACGTGGTTTAGGGGGGGGTGTCCACACATGGTTTAGGGGGAGCCTTCGAGCTGATGCAGCTTGACAGATGGACGGGCCGTGTGTGAACCGAACGCAATTGCGTGAGCGCCACTGTGGATGTACGCACGTTGAGCCTTCTTTCGCACCGCACGTAGCCAACCGGGCCCATGGGAGGTGCGGAGCTGTGGGGTTGGACGGGACAGCAAACTGAGCGCACCCAAAGCAGTTCTTGGCGCAATGAGTCTTGGAGCAATGAGTCTTGGAGCAATGCGTCTTGGAGCAATGAGTTTTCACTCCGTCAGCGGTTGCGTCTCTCGCGAGCAGGCGGCTCCGACGGGCACCCACGCCCCACACCCCCACACACAGCGGACGAACGCAGATGCCTCTGCTCGGCGCGCGCGCCCTCTCACGACACCGCGCGCGCGCACTGACCCAGCACGCGCGCCGTGACCTCCGCAGGTGATCGCCGCGATCCGCTGCGCCGTGCAGGGAGAAGCCGTGCAGAAGATCAGCCGCACCCAGCGCCAGTGCAGCATCGTGTAGCGGCGTGCAGGCGGGGAGGCTCAGCCCTCCGCCACCATCATCATCATTATCACCACCATCACCACCACCCTCACCATCATCACCATCACCTGCTCGGTGACGGCTCAGCGCAAAGGGGCACGGCCCACAAGCTGGGCGCTGATGGACGCAGCGTGGGTGAACGGGTGACGTGGTGGTGGTGAAGTTGGAGTCGATGGCGATGGTGTAGGAGGAGGTGTGGTGATGGTTAAGATAGTAGTGGTGGTGGTGAAGGTGGTGGAAGTGTTTGAAGAGGTGGTGTTGGTTGTGGAATTTGGAGTCGATAATGATGTTGGTGGTGATGACGGTGGTGATGACGGTGGTGGTTGAAGTTGTGTGGTAGGAGAAAGCGATGGTGGTCAAGGTGGTGGTGGTGATGATGTAGTGGTGGCGATTCTGATGCCAGTGAAGGTGCTACAAAGTGGTGGTGGTGGTGGTGGAAGTTGGTGGTGGAGGATGTGGCGGTGGTTAAGGATTTCTGTGCGTGCGAGCGGTGAACAACACCATCATTATCCGCGACGAATACACTGCTGGATGCAAGGCCTCCTCCGCACGCCATCACCGCCTCCTCAGGATCCCGCGATGCGGCGATCCATCAGAGGTCCCCGCACACTCGACTGGGCTCGCCGGCTCCATATCCGCGGTGGCGACGGGAGGGCCGCGTTTCCTTTCACTTCGCCAGAAGTTTGACACGAGCGACATCCATTCGTGACGGAAGTTGTCCACTCACTTGGCATGATGTTCAATAAATGCGGAGAAAAAAACTGATGCAAAAATACAACACGTGTGTGTATGTGTATGCGTGTAATTGTCTGTCTCGTTGGTGCCGGACGGCAACGCTGTGGTTGGCAGTGCCATGGTGTTTGTAGCCACCACAGCGGCCAAAGGGGGCTCTGGACGGGTGTGAGGGGCTGGTAACACCTCCACCTTCAATCCAAGCACCACGAAATCACGGAATAAAAATCGAGTGAAGCTTGTGTCGGAAGCCCCGGGGGGACAGGCGTCCATGACGTCTCCTGGCCAAACCCCATTTGGGATTGGAAGGCATGGGCCAGATCAGCTCAATAACAACACGCTGTTCCGGCATCGGCACATCCACACAACATCATGGATGCATGCCGGGTCCAAGCAAGAACATCTGCTGGACTACGTAGTGACGGACCAGCGGATGCGGCCTATATCCTTGACACCAGGACCTATCGTGGAGCTGATCTGCCCACTGACCATCGACATGTCAGCTGTAAGATGCACCTGCCATTCTTTCACTCCGGTGGTGGGTGTACACCCAGGACCCAATTCAAACCCATAGGGACATCGTCTCAGCTAGCGGATGAAAGTTGCAAGTGAGAATTTCATCATCACTTGCAGCTGGGGTTGGCATCGTCCACTCATCCTGATATCGAGGGGAAATGGGCGAGGTTTACGACTGTGGCTCATGCAGCTGCAATGGCTGCCTTGGGTACACGGTCCAGACCTCCCTAGGGACCCTGGCTGACAGAGGAGGTGTTCAGGTTGGCTGAGAAAAAGTGACAGGCCCACTCTCACCGTCTTCAGCATCCCACATGAGAGAATGAGGAGGCTTACTGCAGCCTTCGCTCGGAGGTTCGGAGAGCCATGAGGCGCTGCAAGGATGGGTGGTGGTCGCGGGTTTCTGAGAAGATGGAATGTGCCTCAGTGGCCCGCGATCACAAATCACCCTTTCATTCCATCAAAAAAGTAACTTGTAGTGCCACACCTATCACCATAATTAGGGGAAAGAACGGTGATCCAATCTCCGACCCCCAGGATTTGCTTAGCATTTCTGAGGTCCTGGGGGAGTGGAAATCTCTCAGGCTGGAAAACATCATGGGGCGAAGTGGGGATGACCCTGCTGAGGCTGCGGTGCTTCAAATATTGGAAGAAGAAGTCACCCCCTGTGAGTGGCTGGCTGAGGTGCCATCTGTTGAGGAAGTACTGAAGGCGATCCAAAGTCTGAGACCAGATATGATCTCCCAAGCAAAATGCTGAGAGAGGGTGGCGTTTGTGCACAGACTGCCCTACATGACATCATAATAACAGTCTGGACCACTGGACGGGTTCCACATGATCGGAAGGATGCCCTGGTGGTCCTCCTCTTCCTCTTTAAGAAGGGGGACCGTAGACTGTAACAGCTACAGGGGCATGTCACTCCCCAGTTTGCCGGGAACATCGCCTTGCTTGGCACGCTGAGGAGAGGCTTGCGGAGCCCCAATGTGGTTTCAAGAATAGGCGGGCCTGCACAGATGCCATCTTTTCTATCCGTCTGCTACATCTCTGCTTTATTGACCTGGTCAAAGCCTATGATACCATCAGTAGGCCTGGGCTCTGGGCTGTTCTTCGTGCTTTCGGAGTCCCTGACTCTCTCCTCACCATCATTAAGGACCTTCATGATGGTGAGCGGGCCCGGGTAAAACTACGTGCCAGGGGATCTCAGACGGGTCGCTTCGCGATGTGTCCGCTTGTGGCGGGGCCACACTCTGTCCCGAGAGCGGCACGACCTGGTGGTGCTGGGGGAGGGACTCTACTCAACGATTGGTGAGAAAAAAAATTTGACAACAAAAACTTCAAGTCACCGACACTGGGGGATGGCGTTTAATGAATTCTAATTTAATTTGGTATCCATTAAACAAAAAAAAAAGACTTCTCACCATCACACCTCCACGACAGACATAGACCCCTCGCCAAGTCAAGGACTTTTCCCTTCACTCCGTAACCCGGGCCAGGCGTCTCAACTCATCCGTTGTCCTTACTCTTTGGTTCTTTCGGTAAAGTAACGTAGGTATAAAATAAAATTAATCACGACGTTTCGATTGCAACACAAGCAATCATCATCAGGTGGGAAAACCACAGCAAGAAATTTTTTTAGCTTGTCGTGATTTATTTTATGTTTCTACCTACGTGACTTTTCCGAAAGAACCAAAGAGTATGGATTCCTGCAGTCACGAAAGCTTCAAATCGAGATTCATCCCTCGTCACCCGCACGTGGCCGGAGTCACCTTCAAGCGTTTCCGTGCAATTTCTACGCCGCGGTCCGAGGGTGCAAACGACGGCGGGGACGTTTTTGAAATGAGTCGCCGTCATCGAGTCCATTTCGCTCTTTGCTCGCCGTATAAATAAAAAAGTGGGGGGGGGGGGGGGGGGGGGGGGGGTTGCCGTGAAAGATTCTGGTACCTTGGGTCCGGTCCCGAGGTCGGTACTGGCGGGCTCTCAAGGCCGGTATCGAGTCCAGTGCCAAGTTCGGTTCACGGCCAGTCCACGGCGACGCCGCCACTTTTGCCCAAATCGTTGCGTCTCGTCGACCGACGATCGAAGCGCCCCCCCCCCACCCCCCCCCCCCCCACTTTCCGCGCGTGACGAATTATTTTTTCTCCCGTTGCTTTAAAAAAAATACAAATCGGTAAAATAGAAATCTGTGAACGTGGTAAAAACAATAACAAATGGAATTGCTTCGTTGGCGGTGGGGGAGGGAGGGAGGGTGGGTTGGGGGGGAACACGTTCAAGAGAATCGACACTTAACGTGGGCGCCAAAGTCCCGACGGGTCGTTCCCACGCCCCCTGGAATTGTTTCTTTCCACGCGCTTTGTTAGCGAGCACCTATTAAGGAGTTTGGCTCCCAAGAGGGGGCGGTGTGGCCAGCGCCACCCACCGTGGAGGTGGGAGGCGGCATTTGAGGCAGAGCGGCACCCGGCGGGAGGGTCCCAGGGCCCGGCTCGGATTGCGCTTGGCGCTCCGGGGCGAGAGAATGGGGACCCCGACACGCGCACAGATCCCCCGTGTAGCCTCGACGGACTGTTGGGGCACGTGCTGTTACCGAGCGCCTATGAAGGCCGGTAAGGCACACGAGGGTGTGGGTGGCCAACACCGCGCACGGCCGACTTTGCCTCCGCAGCGGCGATGTTCGCACGCCCGGGACTGGTCCAGACAATCGTCACCGGTGTTGCCCGTGAGCGGAAATCGAACTCGGGTAGCCAGGTTCGTAGCGCAGCGGAGCGCTAACCGCGACACTACCACTCCCCACACACACACGCGCACACATGCGCACTCACGCACAGGCACACGGAGTTTCATGCGACATCAGTGCAAAATAATCATTTTGAGAGCGCATACATCACTCAAATAATCTTACGACAGCAACAATAATAAACAAACAACAACAACAATAATAATACTTGATTCGTCATCATTACGACAACGTTTCCCCAGACCACGAGAATTAAGATGCGTGAGTGGCGCTGGGTTGTGATCGCACCTGCGTGGCGTCCAGCCACTCACCTGGATGGTGGTGGTGGTGGTGGTGGAGATGGGGTGAGGGTAGGGGGTGGGGGGGGAATTGGTCGTTCCCCGAACCATCGCGTGGCTCAACGAGCCCTCGCAACGGCCACCGGGGTGCGCTGAAGTCACCACGTGTGTCGCGCGGTGCGAGCACTCCCCGGGCGACGCTGGGGCACCGCACAACCCCGACGCACGCGGTGCACGCGCGGGCGACATGGACGAAATGCACGCACCGCAACTTGCCCGCTGCCGATAAAGTGTACACAGTGCGTCGACTTGAATTGCCTTTTATGGGCCATAACCGGAATGTGTCCGCCCGAACTAGTAAAATATATATCGTAAACTAAGGAGGATTTTTTTGAGAGCCTAGTTTCGTCACTTGGATGGGTGGACTACCTGCACCGAGGAGGCTTGTGAGGCGTGCAGTGGCGAGCGTCTCCCGCTCGTCGTGTTCGTTCCGGGGTCTCCTCCCGTACGATGCCAAGCGCTCATCACCAATGGGATTCATGGCCAAGCATCTCAACGAAGAAACCCCACTGAACGGACGGCAAGGATTGCCCTCTGGGTGAATATGAGCGGTGATGCTCTGCACCGCCGAGCGTCGATCGACCATGGCTGGAATGACCGCGGTCGAGCCCCTAGGGGCCTCTCTCTCCAGTTCTGAGGTCACGAGTTAAAATCCCAGCCGAGGTTAAAATAATTACCATGATCATCACCGTCGTCGTCGTCCAGGGTTGGTAAAACGAGCACCGCTGACCAGCGGCTGCGCCACTAAAGAGCGACGTCAACGGCCGTTGTCCTACGGGGAGACCGGTCCCTGCCACGGCACCGTGGAATTCACACCACTGTCTCGGCACACACCAAATTTTGTACCGACCGCTGTCCACCACTCGTCCCCAGCGAGGGGGGGCAGCGAGGGGGGCCACCAAGAGGGGCCGCCTGCGGCAATGACGTACACACACACACACACGCGTCGCGGTGTGTGTGTGTGTATGTACGCGTGTCTTTGTCACTGTACGCCGTGACGTGCTGTGATGCAGATGGACACGCGAGTATGTGGCAGGCGCAAATACGCTTTGGGAGCAGTAGGGGATGGTGACTTTTCAGTGACTGAGCTGTATAATGAACGAATACGTTCCAACATCGGTGGAGAAATCGGTTTGCAAAAACAAGACGGAGCAAGTGCCGAGTGACCACCGCGCCTCGGGGTTAAATTCGACCGCAGCGCGGCCCAGAAACGACCCAGACGTGGCCCAGACGCGGCCCAGACGTGGCCCAGACGTGGCCCAGACGTGGCCCAGACGTGGCCCAGACGCGGCCCAGAAACGAACCAGATGCGGCCCAGACGTGGCCCAGACATGGCCCAGACGCGGCCCAGACGCGGCCCAGACGTGGCCCAGACGTGGCCCAGACGCGGCCCAGACATGGCCCAGACGTGGCCCAGACGTGGCCCAGACGTGGCCCAGACGTGGCCCAGAAACAGACCAGACGTGGCCCAGACGTGGCCCAGACGTGGCCCAGACGCGGCCCAGACGTGGCCCAGACGTGGCCCAGAAACAGACCAGACGTGGCCCAGACGCGGCCCAGACGTGGCCCAGACGTGGCCCAGACGCGGCCCAGACGTGGCCCAGACGTGGCCCAGACGTGGCCCAGACGCGGCCCAGACGTGGCCCAGACGTGGCCCAGACGCGGCCCAGACGTGGCCCAGACGCGGCCCGCCGCTTCATCTCACGCGGTAGCCCACGGCCACACGAGGCCTCCCACCACCACCACCACCACCGTCATCGTCGCTAGGGAGGCCCACAAACGATGTTAGTCCACCCCTGCCAAGGAGCGTCTTAGCCACGCTGATGGTGTACGAAAGGGAGGATGTTTTTGTTACGTGGCGACAACGTGCCGAGTCGCGGATGAAACCCGACTGTACTCTGGACGGTTTGTGAAAGTAATTCGGGCCGTGCCAATTTTCGTGACTGGAAAATGTATTTATAATGCAATGTTCACCGTGTTCATGTAACTGTTTGTTGAGTTCGTCTGTAGCGCAGTTGCTTTTGCTCCGATTTATATTTTGGTTGTTTTTGCTCCGATGCCAATTTGCTTCATTGTTCTACCTAGTTTTTGAATGTTATTGCTTTTGTCATTTTGGAGACCCGGCTCAGTCACTCTTGCTAAGTGAGACTTCTACCCTGGTCCCTTGAGTTCTCAACCCGGTTTAGCAAAATAAACTTGATTCTTGAAATTTCTGCCTCTGCAGGGGCCTCTCGCAGCGATAGAGGTGGCCAAAGTGTTAAACGTGTGGCCCACCAAACGTAATTTTGTCCTATTCGGCCCTCAGTAGGTATGAGGTTCTACACCTCCTGGTCTATAGACACGCGCACGGATGAATGGATGGACACGCACGTCCACAAGCGCACAGCAGGACAGGGCCACCGCCCGCTGACGAGAGCGCGACCTCGTCAGTCTCCGGCGTCCGAATCTCCGGGCGAAGGCTGGCAGCGACGTCACAACCGGGCGTCCAGGGGCGGCACAGAGCCGAGCTCAATCGTCCGTCCATCCCATCGCCCCGTCGATTTATCGTTTGTTCGTTGGTCCGCCAGTCCTCGAACGGCCGGGGGGAGCGCGCGGCGCATCACCGCGCGCCCGCGGCTTGTCCGTCCCCACTGTGTTTGCGTTTCGTCGCCGTCATCGCCGAGATTTTGTTTTGATCGATGCCGGCCGGCTCGTGGGGGCCACCCTCGTGGTGGCGCGCACGCGGCAGGAGGCGACGCGGACAAAAAACGCGGTGCGATGGCAGCGCGCGCCGAGTTGATCATCGCGAGCGGGCGGGCGGGCGAGTAAATCCGTAGAGAGCAGCTGCCCCACGTGTGCGTCTCACAGCCAAGGCCCCCAAAATCCTGGCTTCGACTCCACGGTCTCTCACTCCCTCCCTCCCTCCCTCCGCGGAACAACCTCAAAGCAATAACTTTAATTTACAAAGTAAGAAAAATAAGCTTTTGTTCTTGGTTCGGACTTTTGTTCTTGGTTCGTGCGCCGTCGGTTGAATGAGCGACGCGCCCGCTCGTCGTTGTGCTTTCCCCCGGCACCGTTCTGCCGGTCGCCTCCGGCAGAACGGTGCCGGCTCCAATTCGGTGGCATCGGCGCTGTGTGGCGAGCCGCCCGGCCTGCGCCGCTCGCCCCGTGCCGCCCGCAGGATTCGTGGTGCCGTGTCAGTGGCGGTGGGGGGTGGCGCTGGCTCGTCCGTCGTGCGTTGCCGATCGTAACCGCCGGGCGGGCGCTCACTCTCGTCTTCGTCCGCTCCCTCTCTCCATCCTCTGCCTCTCTCCGTCCCGAGAGAGCGAAGGGGAGAGCGGCGCCAGCGACGAGCGACCGAGTGCGCCGGCGCTCACTCCGCGCCGCCACTGCTGACGATTCCTCCGAGTGCGATCTCGTCCGTTGTCCATTGCCGGCGAGTTCGGAGGGGCCCGAGTCGGCGAAGCGCAGCGAAGGGCGCGTGCACGGACACGCGGACACGTGGACACGTGGACACGAGGACACGAGGAAAGCGGGGAACCTGCGAGAGAGATGTAACAAGAGAAGTTGCGTTCAAGCACCAGACAACAACTTACCCACTCACTCACCCACCCACCACACTGCAGGTGACCTCACTTCTCCCACCATGACCCCAAAGCTCTCTAAACGGTAATAACCTCGCTCGCTTCAACTGACGCGTCCATCCACTCCTATCAGAACAACGGCGCTGCTGCTCGTTGCTGGCCGCTTGACGTTTTCGGCCTTTGGGGCCTGCGCCCACCAACTGCGCTTAAAAAATGAGCAAATCGCGATGTGACCACCGCCACCATCACCACCAGGGCTTGCCAGGTGTGCCGAGGAGACGGCAGTGCTGAGCGTCCCCCCCCAGCCCCGCCCCCCCAGCCCCTCCCGCCCCCCCCCCTCCTTGCTTCCACGTGGGGTTTTGTCCGGGGTCTCCGGTATTTTGGGGGTGCAACGGTGGCGAGATGTTAACTTCCTCGCCTGGTATACGAGAGGTCATGGGTTCGATCCCGACCCTGAACCCTGCTGTATATCCGGAGTTTGCGTGTCCTCCCCGTGGTTACGTGGATTTTTGTCGGGGTCCTCCGGTTTTTCCCTCCACATTTAGAATCAACATCATGGCGTTTAGAGTATTTGGCTGCTATAAATGTCCACTTGATGATGATGATGATGATAAGCCCACTTTGTTGAGCGATCATTTGTGATAGAGAGGTCGCTTCTGAAAAACAGCTACACAGCTCAGTGGGGCCTTACCTGGCAAAATAATGAAAACAATCGTGTAAATAGTTTATAGTTTCGTTTATCCTCCCCCCACGCACGACGCCAAACTCCCGTTACGAACGGAATCCATCGCCAGGTGCGTCCCGGATGCAGCAGGACCCCTGCTCGAAACGTGTCTTGAGACTCAGCGAGGCCTTCCTTTGGTGAATTAAGGACATTAACTCCTCTTATCCTGGGACGATGGCCTCACGACACCACGCCGATTATGGCGGTCGTTTGACCGTAATTCACCGCACTGGTCGGTGCGGGTTGGTGGAGGCGGGAGGGGGGAGGAGCCAGGGCCGGTTCAGATATCGCGAGCCACTGATGTTAGCCGTGGCCAGGAATCCAACTCGGGTCGCTCAAAGTGAGCGTTGAGCCGTGCTCACGTACGACAATAATCATGAGCCACGGCAATTTTTTTTCCTGGTATCAAGTTACACAGGAGGCGTTAAGATGTTCAAACACCAAATAGACGCCACCCATTGCACGGCATCGAGTCGCTCCCCACATCTCTGCGCAGATGTAATCCAGAAACGGGATGCGGGTTTCCCGCTGATGACGTAGCCGAGAGGAAACCGGAGCGCCCGGAGAAAACCCACACGTGTGAAGGGGGCAACCCTCTACCCCATGCAGGTGGCGCAGATGATACAAGCCCACATTGTCGCTGATACTAGCCAGGGTACGGCTTCCTCATCGACGCCCACGGGAAGGGAGTTCCACAACTATCTGTGCAGTCATCCACCAACCCCTCGCTGCTGCCTCCACACTGCGCTACGTGCAGCTCAGCCCCCCACCACAACCACCACCCGGTGGTGGCAATGGCCAACCGCGTTCATCCCACCCGGTGGTGGCAATGGCCAACCGCGTTCATCCCACCCGGTGGTGGCAATGGCCAACCGCGTTCATCTCGATCGCGCGATCAGCGTCGCGTCATGACGGTGCGAAGGGTCTCGCGGCACGACCCTTCGTGCAGGAGGACGGCCCCGCGGAAGTGGACATCACAGAGCTGCCTCCGAGGTCCCTTCGCCGTGCTGAAACTTCGCTTTGCACACAGTAGAGGGCAGCACCGGCCCGCGCGACGAGAGAACCGTTCGTCACGTGGCACCCGTGTCTCTTTCATTCTCCGAGCTGGCGTTTAGACAAATTGAGAACAAAATAAAATGTCATTGGCGACCGGGCTGGGACCATGAACTCGGGCTCGCCGCCACGAGCTGCTCAGGATGCTGTGCATGTGTCTGCGTATCTCTGTCTCTGTGCGTCTCTCTGCATCGCTGCACGTCTCTGTGCGTCTCTGCGCGTCTCTGCGCGTCTCTGTGGATCTCTGTGGGTCTCTGTGAGTCTCTGCGCGTCTCTGTGGATCTCTGTGGGTCTCTGTGTGTCTCTGCGTGTCTCTGTGGATCTGGGTCTCTGTGCATCTCTGTGTCTCTGTGCATCTCTGCGCGTCTCTACACATCTCTGTGGGTCTCTGTGGGTCTCTGTGAGTCTCTGCGCGTCTCTGTGGATCTCTGTGCGCCTCTGGGCATCTCTGTGTGTCTCTGCGTGTCTCTGTGGATCTGGGTCTCTGTGCATCTCTGTGTCTCTGTGCATCTCTGTGTCTCTGTGGATCTCTGCGCGTCTCTACACATCTCTACGTAATCCCGGTGGCTGGGCGCAGTGTGGGCCCCACTTCTGTTTTCCCTTTCGGGGGGGGGCTGTCTGGGCTCTTTTGCCGTCACGCTGCGGTTACATTTTCCGCATGACGATTCCGCGCGCTAAGCTAAATGGGGTCCCCCTCCCCAAACGGCAGAAAATTGAAATTAATAAAGCGATTATTATTAAAAACGTCACGAGTGGTTGTTTTTGTCGAGATTGTTCAGGCACAGCAACAGTGCTTCATCAATATTGCAACCCTCGCTCACTCGCCCTCTCACTCGCTCTGTCACTCGCTCGCATGCTCATTCGCTCGGTCTCTCTCTCTCTATCCACTCGCTCTCTCTCTCTCTGTGAGCCACTCTCTCTCTCTCAGCCGGTCGCTCTCTCTCTCTGTGAGCTACTCTCTCTCTCTCTCAGCCGGTCGCTCTCTCTCTCTGAGTCGGGGGTGACTGGGGGGGATGAGTAGTTGTTGTTGTGGTGGGGGGGCTGGTGTGTTTCGATTGGGGGGCTGGGGTGGTTGGTTTATTAGTTGTTGTGGTGGTGGCGGGGCGGGGGGGTCACGGGGGCAGCAGGCAGTGGCCGTGGCGTCGTCGTGTAACGACCGCACGGCTAGCGGGGGGTCGTGGTGCAGCACGACTAGCGGGGGGTCGTGGTGCCGCACGACTAGCGGGGGGTCGTGGTGCAGCACGACTAGCGGGGGGTCGTGGTGCAGCACGACTAGCGGGGGGTCGTGGTGCAGCACGACTAGCGGGGGGTCGTGGTGCCGCACGGCTAGCGGGGGGTCGTGGTGCCGCACGGCTAGCGGGTGGTCGTGGTGCCGCACGGCTAGCGGGGGGTCGTGGTGCCGCACGGCTAGCGGGGGGTCGTGGTGCCGCACGGCTAGCGGGGGGTCGTGGTGCCGCACGGCTAGCGGGGGGTCGTGGTGCCGCACGGCTAGCGGGGGGTCGTGGTGCCGCACGGCTGCTGCGACCGCGACCTAATCCGACCGGCGGGGCGGTGCGTGGAAGCGCAGGCAAGCGTATGGAGCAAGTCAATAAATTAGCAACATTGGCCCAGCCTGGTTTTTTTGGGGGGGGGGTTTGGTAAAAAAAAAAATGTTTTTCCCATAAAACCAATTAATTAACTAAATTATGTCACTCCCAGAAGGCCGTGGGGCACCGATGCGTTGTGCGAGAAATACTCGCACAACGCGGACGGCACAGCGGGAGGGAGACGTATCATCCGGCTTATTTAGTGTGTGGTCGGTAGCGCCGCACCCCCCCCCCCCCGCACCCCCCCGCACCCCCCCGCACCCCCCCCCCCTGCTTGACGCACCTCGGAGTGCGTCACGCGCCCGTCTCGACCGACTCTGAAAGGGGCGCCCCCGGCGGCAGCTGTCCCCCCCCCCCGCGCCGTAAGGTGACTCCGGCACCTGGCCTGCAATCGGGCGTCAAGTCTACGAGCAGGGGGCGATGACAAGTTCAACGTGTATACGTAACAAGTTCAACGTGTGTACGTAACAAGTTCAACGTGTGTACGTAACAAGTTCAACGTGTATACGTAACAAGTTCAACGTGTGTACGTAACAAGTTCAACGTGTGTACGTAACAAGTTCAACGTGTATACGTAACAAGTTCAACGTGTGTACGTAACAAGTTCAACGTGTGTACGTAACAAGTTCAACGTGTATACGTAACAAGTTCAACGTGTGTACGTAACAAGTTCAACGTGTGTACGTAACAAGTTCAACGTGTATACGTAACAAGTTCAACGTGTGTACGTAACAAGTTCAACGTGTGTACGTAACAAGTTCAACGTGTGTACGTAACAAGTTCAACGTGTGTACGTAACAAGTTCAACGTGTATACGTAACAAGTTCAACGTGTGTACGTAACAAGTTCAACGTGTATACGTAACAAGTTCAACGTGTATACGTAACAAGTTCAACGTGTATACGTAACAAGTTCAACGTGTATACGTAACAAGTTCAACGTGTATACGTAACAAGTTCAACGTGTATACGTAACAAGTTCAACGTGTGTACGTAACAAGTTCAACGTGTGTACGTAACAAGTTCAACGTGTATACGTAACAAGTTCAACGTGTGTACGTAACAAGTTCAACGTGTGTACGTAACAAGTTCAACGTGTATACGTAACAAGTTCAACGTGTGTACGTAACAAGTTCAACGTGTATACGTAACAAGTTCAACGTGTGTACGTAACAAGTTCAACGTGTATACGTAACAAGTTCAACGTGTATACTTAACAAGTTCAACGTGTATACGTAACAAGTTCAACGTGTGTACGTAACAAGTTCAACGTGTATACATAACAAGTTCAACGTGTGTACGTAACAAGTTCAACGTGTATACGTAACAAGTTCAACGTGTATACTTAACAAGTTCAACGTGTATACGTAACAAGTTCAACGTGTGTACGTACATGCATTGGGGGACGTTTGGCCAATACCCGTTGCGTGATATGGGGTGTCTTTTTATCTACGGGAGGAAACCGGAGAAGGCCGAGAAAAATCCATGCAGAATTGCGGGGGAGAGAGAGAACACACAGACTCCGCGGACAAGGGGTGCCCGAGTCAGGAATGGAACCCAGGCACAAGCGCTTGGACGGCGCTGCCGCCTTTGCCTCGCTTGCAGGCCGATGGGCGACGGCTCTGCCGCGCGATGCTCAGAAGCGGCGTCGGAGCGCCGAGTCGGTCGCCCGCACGAGCCTGGAGGCCGCCCGTCGCCACTCGCAAGCTCGCCCACACCGACCTCGCGGAGCACCGAGGAGAAACGTGAGGATGCTGACAACGACGATGACAGTGATGATAACAGGTGATAATAATGATTGTGATGGTGATGGTGATAATAATGATTATGATGGTGATAATAATGATTATGATGGTGACAATAATGACAATGATGACAGTGATGACAATACACTTATGATAACGATGAAAATGATAACAATGATAGTGATGATGATAGTGATAACAATGAACATCATGATGATGATAGCGTTGAAGATAGCAATGATGATGATGCCGATGATATTGATGACGATACTAATGACGACGAGGATGGTCAACACTCGTAACGGGGAGAGCGATGACGACGCCGTGGGTAGCGGTTGCGTGCGCGCGTGCGGTACTCACCCCGCGGGGGGACGCGGCTCGCGGAGACCCAGCGGGCGGGCGGGGGGGGGCTGCCGCTGGGTCCAGTGGGGGGGGGGGGGGGGGCGGTGGCGGCCGCTACCCCGCCTTGGTGTCCACGAGCGGGGGCCCCGAGGGGGGGTCACTCGCCGGCCGCCCGTTCCCGTAGCCGCCCTTGGACTGCATCTGCTGCTGGATCATCCCGCCCTGAGGGGGGCCAAAAGTCAACATCCTCAGTGAGGCATTGTGGGAGAGTACCCACGATACAGCATGGCATTGTGGGAGAGTACCCACGATACAGTGAGGCATTGTGGGAGAGTACCCACGATACAGTGAGGCATTGTGGGAGAGTACCCACGATACAGTGAGGCATTGTGGGAGAGTACCCACGATACAGCATGGCATTGTGGGAGAGTACCCACGATGCAGTGAGGCATTGTCGGAGAGTACCCACGATGCAGTGAGGCATTGTGGGAGAGTACCCACGATGCAGTGAGGCATTGTGGGAGAGTACCCACGATGCAGTGAGGCATTGTGGGAGAGTACCCACGATGCAGTGAGGCATTGTGGGAGAGTACCCACGATGCAGTGAGGCATTGTGGAAGAGTACCCACGATGCAGTGAGGCATTGTGGGAGAGTACCCACGATGCAGTGAGGCATTGTGGGAGAGTACCCACGATGCAGTGAAGCATTGTGGGAGAGTACCCACGATGCAGTGAAGCATTGTGGGAGAGTACCCACGATGCAGTGAAGCATTATGGGAGAGTACCCATGATACAGCATGGCATTATGGGAGAGAACCCACGGTGCAGTGAAGCATTATGGGAGAGTACCCATGATACAGCATGGCATTATGGGAGAGTACCCATGATATAGTGCTGCTTGAAACGTGTTCGAGTCCTGCGATCGCTTGCTAGTAATGCCACTGCTGGCAGAACGGGCTCCACTGAGCGGGAGGAGTGGATGTGGTTGTTGAGAGAGAGTGGGTTATGGACTTTGCTCCTCTGGGTGAGGGTGCAGTCGAACTTTGCGTTCATCAACACTTTGTCAAACGACTGCAGGGTGGAGTTTGTAATTTTGAGAAATGTGGTTACGCGCGAGTTAAACATTCCAACAGTCACAGTCAAGGTTTGCAGCGTGTGTGTGTGTGTGTACAGATGTGTGTGCATGCGTGTGTAGGTATGTATATAGGGGGAGTGGTAGTGTGGCGGTTAGTGCTATGCGCTATAAACCCGACGGCCCCAAGTTCTATTCCCGCTCGTGACCAAATAACTGAATATATCTGAACTGGTTCTGGGCCTCCCCCTAGGTCGACTCAGCCTTAAACAAGTATCTGCTGCGGTGTGTTAACAAAAACTGGGGAGACAAAGGTGGCCGGGCGTGGTAGCGTGCCGTGCCGGCCTAAATGAGTGCTACTCGCTAACAGCACTTGTCCCAACCACCTGTGTAGGCTGTATGGGCGGGGGGGGGGGGAACTTGATCTTTGTGTGTGTTTGAAAATGATTAAATACTGCTGTTTGGACAAGTCCATGCAGGTGCATGCTTGCGTGGCAGTGTGATATCTGGGACTTCCCGAGCTCGCATCAGCCTTAAATGTAGCGCCTGGCGTGGTGTGTTAAACACCACACTACGAGGAAGACAAAGATGCCGGGCGTGGTGCTGGCCGGCCACCCCCTCTTCTGCCGTGCCAGCCTCCACAGGTACTCAATAACAGCCCTGTCTAAACGTCCACAGCTACGAACCCAGCGACCCGCTCACAGCCAACATCAGCGACGATTATCTGAACCGGTCATGGTCCTCCCGTAGGTCGACTCAGCCTCAAATAAGTACCTGGTGCAGTGTGTAAACATCGCCACTGGGGAGACGAAGGCGGCCGGACGTGGTGCTGGCCACCCACCCCCTCGTGTGCTGTGCCGGCCTTAATAGGTGCTTGCAAACAGCACTTGCCCCAACAGTCTGTTAAGGCTATACGGGAGTTCTTTGTCTTTTGTGCATCTGCATACGTGCATGTCCGTGTGTGTGCATGCCCGTGTGTGTGCGTGTGCGTGCGTGTGCGTGCGTGTGCGTGTGGGTGCGTGCGTACCGAGTTGCTGCCCCCATTGTACATGTCCCCCGAGCCCACGTGCGCCGTGTGCACGAAGTTGGTCGGCTCGCCGATCATGGAGCGATCGATTCGCCGCCGCCGCTTCTGCGCGCCGCCGAATGAAAACACAAAGCGACGGCGAGCGTCACGGCGCGGACAAGAAGGACGCAAGGCCGGCACCGCCGGCGGAACCACGAAGCCCGTCGAGGCGAGTTAGAGTCCCGGCCACGGCTCGGAGCGTCCGTCTCCCGTCGGGGATCCGCCGCGCCGCCAACGGTCACGGCCGCCGAAGGGGAAACGCGACGAGAGGGTTCCTCTCGTCGCGCCCGTCCGATGGGGACCCCAGGGAGCGTGCGCCCGCGGCGTGAGAGCTCACTCACCTGCCCGCTGACCCACTCGCTCGCTCTCTCACCCATTCGCCCGCCCGCTCACTCAGCCACTCACCTGCCCACTCACTTTGCTCACCCGCCCACTAACCCACTCAGTCACCCACTTATACGCTCACTCACCGACTCGCCCATCCTCCCGGTCACTCACTCACCCGCCCGCTCGCTCACCCACTCAGCCATTCGCATCGTCAGCCTGTCCCTTGGAACGTCCTGCCAGTGCCACCAAGGTGCGAGAGCTCGGAACGTGACCTGACCGAGCACATCCCACCTACGCGAGATGTCATAAACTCATCACTATTATTATCATCACTACTCAACGGGTGTTCAATCTCCAATTTACCCTGCCACGCTCGTGTAGTTTCTCGTTTATTCTGTCCCCGTGCGCCCTGCTGCCGCGCACGTTCGATCACCACGCACGTCACGGAGACGTACGGATATATGCCGCGTGTTACGGCACACAGCGTACGAGGTTCGCGGTTCGATTCCGGTCGGCCGCCCTGGTTAATACGGCGGTGCGGACTCGCTATAGATACGCGACTGGCCACTTTGCAGTGGACGCTAAAGATCCCGTGACGTCGGTCCAAACGAGCAGGCCACTGTCCGAATTTGGCGAAATTGTAAAAACAGCGTCGCAAATTTCTCAATTTGGAAGGCAGCAGCAGCGAATGATTACGCCCCCCTACTGGCAGACTAATGGTCTCTCGCAGGCCAGGCGCTGAGTCACCTTGTACCACACAGAGACAGCTGCTGCTGGGGGTACCCTTCGAATGCTTGAGAAGAGATGCGATGGACGGCGTTTAAGAGTTGCTGAGGCATTTTAGCAAGTGTTGCCGTGCAAATGCAAATATTATTATGATGGGATTATTCTTTAATCGTTATTATTTCGAGTTTGCAAGCTCCAATACCAGCGCAAAACCTCGCTCGAGCTCGACAGCTCTGCGGGTTTGCGAGACAACGGCCGGACACGGAATCCCTCGCAGGGAGGAGCGGTCAACACGGAGCGCCGCAGGGAAGCCTCGGCGCTGGGCCTCGCCCGGCGCAGCATCCAAGCGACCAGGGAACGGGGAGAGAGAGGGGGGGGGGGGGTATACAAACGAAATAAACCACGTTCACGGCGTTCGTGGGCGTTGCGGAATTCACGCCTGGGAGGATCTATCATCGTTACGCCGGTAGGCACAGCGAAAAAAGACACAAAGAATTCTAAATTCTCGCCAGAGGATATGGCAGACGCAACGCAGGGCCAGGAGGGTTGGCTGCGGCCGCTCGTACCGGGGCGGTGACGCGGCCGGAGGTTCGCTCCCCCGCGGCCGCCCTGGTTAATACTTCGGTCGTGGTGCTCTAATCTTGACAGTAGGGTGTTGTCCGTCCCGGTCCGCGGCGTTCGTCGGAAGCTCTGGTGGCGTTATTGCGCGCCGGTGTCGCGGTTCGAATTTGCCACGAAATTGGAAATTGAGGTCAAACCACACGGCAACATCGCTCCCCCCCCCACCCCACCCCGATAGCGGGGCGAGCGAAAGGCGCGCGGTGAGAATCCATCGCGCGCAACGCTCGTTACCGCTCAGCCGGCTCTCTACGCCATGGAGCAAGCGCTGTGAGCGAGCAGATGATCCCTGCCGCCCCAGTTGACTTATCAGGGGCCAGCGTGCAGGCTAACACACAAATCGCTTCTGGTCGCGTGCATCGGACTCGGCGATCGGAGTCGGGTCCAAAGGTTTGTAATCGAATATCCCGACCGCTGCGCCACCACTCCCACCAACGCCAACACACGCACAAGGCAAAGATCCCCCGTACAGCCTTAGAGCCAGCCACACAGTTGGAGAAACTTCCTGAGCACCGATTAACGCCAGGTGGACTCACGAAGGGGGCATGTTACCAACGCCACGGTGAGCCGATGTTTTTAAACAAGGCACCGGGTAATCATTTGAGGTCCAGTCGACCTAGGAGAGGCGCAGGACCGGTTCAAGTGCTCGTCACCGATGTTGGTCGCGGCTCGGTGCCGGGTCCATAGAGCAGTGCGCTAATCGCTGCGCCACCGCTCCCCACACACACACACAGTGCGCTAATCGCTGCGCCACCGCTCCCCACACACACACAGTGCGCTAATCGCTGCGCCACCGCTCCCCACACACACACAGTGCGCTAACCACTGCGCCACCGCTCCCCACACACACACAGTGCGCTAACCACTGCGCCACCGCTCCCCACGCACACACACAGTGCGCTAATCGCTGCACCACCGCTCTCCACACACACACAGTGCGCTAACCACTGCGCCACCGCTCCCCACACACACACACAGTGCGCTAACCACTGCGCCACCGCTCCCCACACACAAAGACAACAAATCCCCCGTATAGCCTTACCAGACTTTTGTGGAAAGTGCTGTTAGTGAACACTTACACTCGCACACACGGAGCGCTAACCACTACACTACCGCTCCTCCACACCGTACACACCACACAGACACACACACAGGCACATACACAGACACACACACAGGCACATACACAGACACACACGCGCATCAACGATCCACGCGGTGTACTCGGGACGAATAACTCACCGGCTGCGGCTGCTCCGCCACGCAGCAGTTGAAGCAGAGCCAGAATTCACTCATCGTCGTGCCGGGCTGGGGGGCACGCAGGCAGGGGGGGGGGCAGGGGGGGGGGCGGGCGGGCTGTGTTGCGGAGGCTGAACGCGGCAGGGGAGACGCTGGCGGCAGGCGCTGCCTCAAGCCGCCCACACAGATTAAAGGGAGAGCCGGGTCAGAGGGCAGCGCAGGGAGGCTGCCCGGCGTGCGTGGCCACCGGGCGGGTCGCTCTCGATCTGTCGTTGAGAGCCGCCGATCACCGAACCGCCGTCACCGCCACCGCCGTTACTGCCGCCGCTACCGCCGCACCCTTGTGTGGTGACGGACGCTTCAGGCGGCACCGAGGTTTTTTGAGTTCCAGGCCGGTGACAGCCGCACCCACCCCGGTGTGAAAGAGATGGCCCTGGGGAGAGAGTAGAGAAAATATAAATCAGAGGAGAAGAAGCAAATATTTATATATATACACGTTGTGTGTGTGTGTCTTCTAAAATCACAGTTGCTGAACACAGGCACAAAATGAGCGAAACGTCAAACGGCCAGCAACAAACAGCACCATCATTGTTGTAATAGACAGGGGGGAAAGAGACAGTGATAATGATGGCAGCAAGGCAGTTCCACAGTGGAGCAGTGCGAGGGGAGAAGCTGAGAGAGAGAAGTGAGGTGGCCAGCAGTGTGGCGATTCAGCGAGTGAGCGTATGAGCGAGTGTGTGAGTAGGTGAGTGAGCGAGTGTGTGAGTAGGTGAGCGAGTAGGTGAGTAGGTGAGCGAGCGAGTGTGTGAGTAGGTGAGCGAGCGAGTGTGTGAGTAGGTGAGTGAGCGAGTGTGTGAGTAGGTGAGCGAGCGAGTGTTTGAGTAGGTGAGTGAGCGAGTGTGTGAGTAGGTGAGCGATTGTGTGATTAGGTGAGCGAGCGAGTATGTAAGTAGGTGAGCGAGCGAGCGGGTAGGTGAGCGAGGGAGTGTGCGAGTAGGTGAGCGAGTAGGTGAGTAGGTGAGCGAGCGAGTGTGTGAGTAGGTGAGCGAGCGCGTGTGTGAGTAGGTGAGCGAGTAGGTGAGTAGGTGAGCCAGCGAGTGTGTGAGTAGGTGAGCGAGGGAGTGTGCGAGTAGGTGAGCGAGGGAGTGTGCGAGTAGGTGAGCGAGTAGGTGAGTAGGTGAGCGTGCGAGTGTGTGAGTAGGTGAGCGAGCGAGTGTGTGAGTAGGTGAGCGAGTAGGTGAGTAGGTGAGCGAGCGAGTGTGTGAGTAGGTGAGCGAGCGAGTGTGTGAGTAGGTGAGCGAGCGAGTGTGTGAGTAGGTGAGAGGGCGAGTGTGTGAGTAGGTGAGCGAGCGAGTGTGTGAGTAGGTGAGCGAGCGAGTGTGTGAGTAGGTGAGCGACTAGCTGAGTAGGTGAGCGAGCGAGTGTGCAAGTAGGTGAGCGAGCGAGTGTGTGAGTAGGTGTGCGAGCGAGTGTGTGAGTAGGTGTGCGAGCGAGTGTGTGAGTAGGTGTGCGAGCGAGTGTGTGAGTAGGTGAGTGAGCGAGTGTGCGAGTAGGTGAGTGAGCGAGTGTTTGAGTAGGTGAGTGAGCGAGTGTGTGAGTAGGTGAGCGAGCGAGTGTGTGAGTAGGTGAGCGAGTAGGTGAGTAGGTGAGCGAGTGAGTGTGTGAGTAGGTGAGTGAGCGAGTGTGTGAGTAGGTGAGCGCGCGAGTGTGTGAGTAGGTGAGCGCGCGAGTGTGTGAGTAGGTGAGCGAGCGAGTGTGTGAGTAGGTGAGCGAGCGAGTGTGTGAGTAGGTGAGCGGCGAGTGTGTGAGTAGGTGAGCGAGTAGCTGAGTAGGTGAGTGAGCGAGTGTGTGAGTAGGTGAGCGAGCGAGTGTGTGAGTAGGTGAGCGAGTAGCTGAGTAGGTGAGCGAGCGAGTGTGCAAGTAGGTGAGCGAGCGAGTGTGTGAGTAGGTGTGCGAGCGAGTGTGTGAGTAGGTGTGCGAGCGAGTGTGTGAGTAGGTGAGTGAGCGAGTGTGCGAGTAGGTGAGTGAGCGAGTGTTTGAGTAGGTGAGTGAGCGAGTGTGTGAGTAGGTGAGTGAGCGAGTGTGTGAGTAGGTGAGCGAGTAGGTGAGTAGGTGAGCGAGCGAGTGTGTGAGTAGGTGAGTGAGCGAGTGTGTGAGTAGGTGAGCGAGCGAGTGTGTGAGTAGGTGAGCGAGCGAGTGTGTGAGTAGGTGAGCGAGCGAGTGTGTGAGTAGGTGAGCGAGCGAGTGTGTGAGTAGGTGAGCGGGTAGCTGAGTAGGTGAGCGAGCGAGTGTGCAAGTAGGTGAGCGAGCGAGTGTGTGAGTAGGTGTGCGAGCGAGTGTGTGAGTAGGTGTGCGAGCGAGTGTGTGAGTAGGTGAGTGAGCGAGTGTGCGAGTAGGTGAGTGAGCGAGTGTTTGAGTAGGTGAGTGAGCGAGTGTGTGAGTAGGTGAGTGAGCGAGTGTGTGAGTAGGTGAGCGAGTAGGTGAGTAGGTGAGCGAGCGAGTGTGTGAGTAGGTGAGTGAGCGAGTGTGTGAGTAGGTGAGCGAGCGAGTGTGTGAGTAGGTGAGCGAGCGAGTGTGTGAGTAGGTGAGCGAGCGAGTGTGTGAGTAGGTGAGCGAGCGAGTGTGTGAGTAGGTGAGTGAGCGAGTGTGCGAGTAGGTGTGCGAGCGAGTGTGTGAGTAGGTGAGTGAGCGAGTGTGCGAGTAGGTGAGTGAGCGAGTGTGTGAGTAGGTGAGCGAGCGAGTGTGTGAGTAGGTGTGCGAGCGAGTGTGTGAGTAGGTGAGTGGGCGAGTGTGCGAGTAGGTGAGCGAGTTGTTGTGACCTGCAGTGTGGCGTTGAACGCGGTGCGGTGTACGCAGCGTTGATGTGACAGTCAGTGGTTGGGGTCCTCAACATGGGCGGAGGACTGAGCGTGTGAAGCTCACACAAACACACACACGGAGGGCGTGTTTGTGGTGAGAGACAAATATAGCCCCGTCTAGCCTTACACACTACAGGGACGACTGCTGTTAGTGAGCACCTATTAAGGCTGCCGCCGTGTGGCCAGAGCCATACTCGGCCCTCTTTGTTTCCCCAGCGGTGTTGTCTACGTACTGTACAAGCAACGCATTTAAGGTTGAGTCGACCTAGGGGAGGCCCATGACAGGTTCATATATTATATTCCGCTCATGTTGTAAACAAACTACAACGTACAGCCACTCGCTGACTCACAGACACATCCGTAATGATATTTGTCGCGAAAGCCGACGTGTTCAACTCGCAGACGCATGCTTACACAACGAAGACAAAGATCCCCCATACAGCATTAACAGACTGTAGGGGCAAGTGCTGTTAGCGAGCACCTATGAAGGCCGGCGCGCACATGAGGGAGGGGGGGGGGGTGGCCAAAATTACACCCAGCGCTGTTATTTACACAGTGCACCGAATATATTCATTTAACGCCGAGTCGACCTAGGGGAGGTCCACTACCAGTCCAGATAATCGTCACCGGTGTTGACCGTGAGCGGGAATCGAACTCGGCTCGTCGGGTTAGTAGCACGGCTCCCCCACAGACACAATGTCCCATCACTACACCACAAACTCGGCACGACTAAGCCCGACAATTTTGCACGACGGGACGGAACTATAAAAGCGACCATTTGTCTGGCCAGTTAAGCCGTTTATGGACATCTTATCTTCAACTTCAGTTGATATAGTGCATTCAATAAGGCTCTGAACAGAGAATTAACTATTTTTAGAGCAAGTTTAGTACGATGGGATGAGAAAGAATGCAGCGTGTGATGAATACGTTGATGCTACGTGAAATAAACGATGATGAACGTGACAGTGAGCTGTTTATGATGGGCGAGCGTGATGATGAATGGGCCGGGTAGTCGGGAAGAGTTCGTGATGGGGATGGGAGGGGGGGAAGACAGGGATTTGAAGTCCTCGAGGGATAATCGGGGAGTTGTTTTGGGCGAGAACGAGAATGAGTCAGGTGACCACGAGTCGTTGCCCCGTGCCCCGATTGGACATCTGCGACAAAGAGATTTGTAGCTCATTCTGATTCTGTTACTAAATAAGGGGGACGGGGGGGGGGGAGAGTGGCGTGTCGTCTCGGAGGGTCTGTGGAGCGAGCGCCGTTCGAACCGCTTAGTCTCACCACGAGACGAGACCCGGGCGCGACAATAAATAAACTGCACGGGCAAGGGCCATACATTTTTTAACAACCTGAAGGCTCGCGGTAAAAACCGCAGGCAGCGATGAAATGCGAACGCATTGCCAAAATCCTAATGGGGGGGGGGGGGGGGAGAGCGATGGCCCCGTGAGATAGCGTTAGGTTAGCGGCGATAGCGGAGAGGGACGCGCGGGAGAGGAGGGACGAGGCCGACCGACCAAACGCGGAAACAGAATGTCCCGCAAAAGGCACGTTTCACTGCACAGTGGCGCCAAACACGCAGGTGGGTGGGTATAGGTGGGTATAGGTGGATGGGGGTGGGTGGGTATGGGTGGGTGGGTGGATACAGGTGGGTGGGTATTGGTGGGTGGGTATGGGTGGGTGGGTATGGGTGGGTACGGGTGGGTGGGTGGATGCAATTCAAATCCCTTCTGCGGTCTGTCCGGTAAATCAGCATCAGCCATGATCAACCCACTGCTGGATGAAGCATCCCCCACCCCCCCATCCCGTCCCAAGCTGCTGGCACCTCTCCCGACCTCGCGCACGAGCCGGACTCCATCGCTCCATCTCCGCGGTGGACGTGCCCTTCCTCCAACCACAATCACTTTACAGCAATTGGCCAGGAAGAAAGTCGTTCAGCGGGAGGTGTTTTACAAGGGCCCCCCCGCCCCCCCCCGCCCCCCCCGCCCCCCCCCCCCCCGAGGGGAGGTAAAACTATTTCAAATGGTCCGCACAGATAGATTTCAGAATCCGCCGATGTATTTGTCCCCTCCTGGCCACCTTGCAGCACACGACTGCAACAGCTTCTGCCGTGAGTCTTCTGCCGTGAGTCTTCTGCCGTGAGTCTTCTGCCGTGGACCTTCTGCCGTGAACCTTCTGCCGTGAACCTGCTGCCGTGAACCTGCTGCCGTGAACCTGCTGCCGTGAACCTGCTGCCGTGAACCTGCTGCCGTGAACCTGCTGCCGTGAACCTGCTGCCGTGAACCTGCTGCCGTGAATCTGCTGCATTCACTTTGGGGGGGGACAGGGACGGAGCGTTCTGTTTAATTCGGTAGAATGTTCTCAGCGCCATCCGCGCTTCCCGTCCGACGAGCCACATTGCCCAACGTGGCGCGTCGTAAATCTCGGCTCGAGAGGGAGCCGTTGTTGGTGGGCGGTGCGGCGGAGTTCGCGACGGATGAGACGAACACCGAGATCTCACGGTGACCCCGGTGGCCCGGCCAGGCCCAGGGGCTGGTGGGACGGGGCCGTGGGTCGGCGTGCCGCGCTTCGCGCCCCC